GGAGAGTTTCCTGTCCGAGCCGAGACACGTAAGCGGTCATCATGAAGACATTTATGATTTAAAGAGATCCTGTGATCCGGGTACCCTTCACAATATAGGTGACACAAGTGTAACCTCTAGGTTCCGACAATTCTTACCCAAAGCGACCCGCGAACCAAAAAGGGATCATGAAACGGGGACCTGCAGTTTGACTGATATCACTTGCATCATGCTCCACGACGACTATCCATAGGGCTGGCCCGGGTGCAATGTACCACTGCATTCATACTAATAGTTCTTTCCTATAAGGTGGTAAGGAACTGCCAGTGTAAGGCTGTAGCCTCCTTAAATGGAAGGAGCTGCTTTCTTTGTAAGTACCTACCTTACCTTAGCTAACAATTTGAATGATAGGCACCTGGTGAAGAAGGGTCGACACCCCGTTCAATGAGTTTAAGCCTGGAATACTAGACTGGCTTGAGTATAATCAGGGGTGACATACTAACTTCCATTCGTCAACCCCCTCCCGCCCAAGCCTTCCCCCTCTCTCTATCCACCTCAGGTCACGGAAGTGATTGCTGGGCCACAATTTAGGGCGGAGAAAATTGCTCTATCTAGCGAAAAATCACAGAACATCCTTCTCCAGTGTATACATTTGCTATTCGTTACAATCACTGGCATCATATCTTCAGTTCCTCTCCATTTTTAAACCTCCTCCACACCTCCTCGTAATGCTCAGGCCTTACACTATCGATATCGCCCTGCAGCGCTAGAGTTTCCAGCATCATAGTAGCATACTTTGTAGCGTTCTCCATGTCCCCCAGGACGAAGTATATCCGAGCCATGTTCCCATACTGCTCGGCGTACATAGGGAACAAGTCCTCGGATGGGAGCAGCTTGATGATCTGCCGTGTGAAGCGCAGTGCGTGGTACGGTTTTCCCGCCTGAAACGCCTGGGCAGCTTGCGTCCAGAGTGACTCGATGTGCCGTCGACGAGCGTCTGAAGCTGCAATCTCTGCTTTACTGGCAGTACAGAGGCTGCAAGTGCAATTGAAGCCCCATTGCCTAAGCTTGTTCTGACGCTCCTCCCATGTTTGTCCCAGTGCTATGTCTTGAAATTATGGCTCGTTAGTATGGAGGTACTCCACGGTTCGGCGTCGTATTAGTAGACCTAAGGAACCGGACTTACAACTGATTGTGATTTCCTCGCCTTCTTCGATGGCACGGGCAGAGACAACGCTGACTTGGAGCTTGTCTTCCATGAACCGAGTGTATGCGCTGCAGAGTGTGTTAGGGAAACCCGTAGCCGAGCGATGTGAGAAAGGGGCACTGCATGTGGGCGCAGGGAGTAGAGGTAGATATTTTTCTTGAACTTAACACAGCTAACTCACTTGGGCTTGCATGCGTGGTTAATTCTCTGTCCGTGGTGTCAGCTCCGCCGCTCAATATCACATAGAACAGTCACGGCAAAGGCGAGCCTTACTGAGACGGTAGGGTAGAGTGCGATGTGCGGTATACCTCCGAGCGATGTGTGGAAGGCATTGGTCCTCAGGACGTTCTCCACGTCGTCCTGTGCGAAATCGTTGCTTTTCCCAAGTTCCAAAACGCTAACAGGGTCTGCGAGCCGGTCGACAGCTGCGCGTAACAGCCGATAACCTAGGATTGATGGCACATTTGTGGTAAAGGCGATGTCAACAACGATGGTAGCATAATCGAGAAGCAACTCCTCATAGGGCCTGATACGCCTTGTCGCTACAAGCCCCTTCCCCTTTCCAGGAATATCGAGAATCCTGTATAGGGGATCCGCCTCACGGGAAGCATTGAGCCTGGAGGGAATGAAGGGTATGTCCAGGAAACGTACACTGTCCGCCGCGGTCTCGGGAGACGAGATGAGGCTCCAGCCGTGGGAACCATGTCGGGAATTCGTATACACACAGTACTTAGCTGTTCGGTCTGCTGTGTATTCACACTCTGGACGGTGTGTCCATGGAGACACTGCTGCTGGCCCTCCAATCGTGTTAGTAATACCATGGCTGTCTAGAATATCCCGAAAACAACCAGGAGACGCATTAGTTCTTTAGAAAGCAGTGTAGGATAAAACCTAAAAGTCTTTTGAGCCTCCTTACATGGACCTGAAGCGTTGTCGATCGGCAGGGGGCACGCGCCGTTGCTGAGAGACGACTTCACGGCAGCGGGGATTAGGGCAGGACACTCATCAAGAGAAGCTCGCGCTAGCAATATGTTGAAAATGAGGACCACGACCTCAAAACGCTTCAAGCTCCGGCCATACATTGCTTACTCGTATGAATGAATGATTGTAAATGGTGATTAAGGTATGGTAAATGCAAGAGGTAGGAAGGCGCGATTCTCTACATGCATGTGTCATGGAGAGCAGGCACGTTACAAACTGCCTAGGTAGGTACCTACCTACCTTGCCTACTAGGTAGCACCTTACATATCAAACCAAACTAAGATCGGAACACGCTGAGCGGTTTCACTCTCATCACATCCGGCCTACTTGGGCCGAGTTAGGATCCTATATTGGTACCTACCATACCTATATCATTTGAGGTACCCGAGACTTGTCATGGCATCCATTCACGGTTAGGGATAAATTGATTCTTTTGTCGATCGCGCCGGGCCCCGGGGTGTACCTTTCGCTGGATACGATCAGTCCGAGTGGATGGAGAAACGGAGGCAAGAGACCGATTTCAATATGGCAAAAGGAGTTTCTTGCCTGCAGAGGCTTTGGGTTGCCCTATAAAGTGCAACCGACAAGACCTGGCCATGGCTGGGTTGGAGAGACAACTAAGCACCGAGGAACGATCCACGGCGGGATGAATGGCCAAGCCCGAATCAGGCTGTCCGGTTACAAAGTGCCCAGACGGCTACATGTTGAAAGCAGCTCTCTCCTCTAGAGTCTAGATTATTCCGGACTTGAAATACAGACCAAAAGTACTACTAACCAAGATGGCGGGATAGGGAGAAGGCAGAAGACTTTGTAGGATGGCTATGAGACTGGTTGCAATCATGATGTTTGGACTGAAGCCCCGAAGTTGCAAAGCAGGAATATGTTTAAATGATCTGTATATGGTGGCGCATAAACAAGTTGTATCCTCAGACTCATGAAGTGGGTACCTGAAGTAACTCACCGCCGAATACACTGATCTTCCCACCGTATTCCATAACTTACCGGGCCCTTGCCTACCTTACTCGAGGTTGTCATTCAAGGCGCAATGTCTACAACTGAAGCCATCCATGTCGTCCATGATTAACGAAACAACGTGACTCGTCACAGATAGGGTCCAATTGTTCGCCTCGAGTCCGATATTCTGAATTAAACCCAATAGTATTCTCCTCCCCTTATCCGTCTCACCCTCCGACCTCCACCCATACAGGGAAGAGGCCATCAGTAACTAACTAACACACCCAAGAACCATCTTTAACCTCGTCTGGCGTTTCTGATTTACTAGCAGGCCGCGATACGTAACCCGTACCATCTCCTTAGACCGACCGTCCTACCCGTCTAGTTGGAAGGGGGAGGCAAAACTAGATAAAAGGGAAAGAAACGCCCTCATGCCCGTCTTCCATTCTCCAGCCCCCAAACGATGATCACCCAGTCCAAACCCCGATCAAATTGAGAAAAACCCGGTAGGAGCCCGACGTCTATCCTCCACTCCACTCCATGGAGCGGGCAAGCGAAAAGCGCACAGGACATCTAAGTGTGCGATATCAATCAACGCCAACAACAGGCCTCGACCTTTGGGCGATCACCTCACGAGCATAAAACTCCACCAGCATGGTGGCATACGCCTCTAGATCCTCCACAGGCACAGCCAGGCGGAAGTCGTTTAGCAGCAGGAACTGCAGTTCAAGATGATTAAGTTCGGCGAGGGGAAGTCCGCCAACCTAAGTGTGTTTCCCACATTAGTATCTGGGAAATGAGAGCAGAAAAAGCGAGGAGGAAGTGAAGGGAAGGGCAACGTACCTTTGCATATCGCGAATTAGTATAAAAAACATCCGAAAAGAACTTGCTAGCACATGTAACGCCGGCAATGATTAAGCGATGAATATTGAAGCTGTCAACAACAAAATACGTGGCGTGGGCGGCGGCAACGGCAGCGGCAGTGTTGGAACGCGCCGCATTGGTCTTGCCACCCGAAACGGATGGTCGCTCGCTCTCGCTCACGGCTCTTCTTTGCTCGTCCGCGTCCGAACTAGTATCGTCCGCAAGGTCAGAGTCGGTCTCGTCACTCTGGGAGTCGTCATCGTCATCGCGCATCGTCGTGTCCCTGTCACTGCCTCTGATTGGTGGCGCAGCTGTCTTCAAGTCGCCGGCAGCACCGGCCGCTGCCGCCTGCGTCTGCATCTGTAGTTGGTGTTGGGCCTCGAGCTGCTGCCGCCGCGCCTCCTCGCTCTTCATAACAATGTCGTTGACCCGCTCCGTCATCCGATCAAAATAGACCAGCAGACTTAGAAACACCTCGTATGTCGTCGGGCAGTACTTGTGGATCCGGCTCAAGTAGCTCAGAATGGTAATGGCTGGAACGTTTTTGCCGTGAAATGCTAGAACGCTGCTGCTTAGCGGGCTGATGTTGCCCTCAGGGCCTCCATCCTCGCCCCTTGCTTGTGCTTGAGCTTGTCTGAGGTGGTGTGCATTGCGGTTCAGCGCGTCGTGTTGCAGGTCGTTGGTGGTGGTAATCTTGGTGAGCAAGGCGGCGACCATCTCAATGATATCACCAATGGGCATGCCGCTAATCTCGTATTTCATCTGTTGTAATGGCGGGTCGTTTAGAATCCCCGGCGCAGTGGTGGTGAGGAGATCTGCTCGCGCCAGGCTCTGGATGTGGGCCAGATCGCGGACCCGTATCGTCGTCTGCATCTGTATCGGAGGTTCGGGCGGCTCGTCGGCAGGCACGGGGTTAGAACTAGGGCCGGCGGCCTGATTGTTGGAAGAGGCCCAGCAGGGACCACTCCCTGAATCCGGGGAGGGTATGGCCCTCGGAGGGGGCGGTATCACCGTCGCGGCCGTACTCGCCGAGGAGGCGCTCGAGGACGAGGCAGAGAAGGGCCCGGCCGCGTAGTCGTGTGCGCCGTCCGCCAGGACCTCATATCGCGGGGGTGCAGAACTTGACGTTTCGGATGAGGATGACGACGAGGATGGCGGGGACGGCAACCGCGCAGCCGCACCACTCTGATGGCCACTCCTTTCTTGTGATGCTTCGTTCCAGTCTCGCCTGCCTTGAGCGACTCCCTGGGCGCCGGTCAGCGATACAGAGTTTTGCCTCCTTGGGCTTGCCGTTGGGCGTGCGTGGTGGGACTGGGCATCCCGGTCGCGAGATCGGCTCACGGATCGGCTCTGGTAGCGGACGTCGTGTGAATGCTGTGAATGCCCACCGATCATGCTATGGAATCGCGACGAGGGCTCCGCAAAGACGTCGCCAATCATCGCAGCCATATTAACGTGGACGCTGGATTGGGAGTTGTAGTTGCCCAGGAGTGGGACGCTATCGGCAGACGGCACGTTCGAGGCTGCCGGGAGGAAGGTGGCTGTGTCGCAGATAGCGGAGCATTAGCACGGGTTTTGCACTTTAGCGATATTTTGGACCCGGCGATAAAAAACCGGTATGTATTGTACAGTACTGGGACATCAGCCCATGCGACGATATTGCAAACTGGCAACACTGCAAGGTGATAAAGGGACAAGAAATGAAAAGAGGGATGATTTTCAAAACGAAAATAAAATATAAAACAAGGGGAAAGAAGAGAAACGGAGGGAAGATCAAAGAGTAGGATCCCAACTGTCTCTGTGATACGGGGTTCGCAAACAGCAGGCCATCTGTCGCATCAGGGCACAGGAACACAACAGTTGATTGCGGCAAGCAGCGCTGTTGGCTGCGAGCGGCACTACATAAGGTGCGCACAGGCACTAGCAGAATGCCGCTGTTGATGCCCGCCCTTTGCGCCTGATGACAAGATAAAGCTGCACGCCAGGCTCTTGGACTGTGTGTGTGGCTGCCGTGCAGGCTGCAGAGTCGACGCACGGAATGCGGGAATTGGCCTGGTGATGGTGTGTCGACGTCTCGGCATCATGAACTAAAAGCCACGAAGACCTCATTGAACGGATGGATGTTGTAAACTTCAATCAAGAGCCACAATCGCGGCCTCGAACTGACCCGGCGACGTCATTCTGACGGCAAAAGGGGTACCGGTACATCGAGAAACATGGCGACTGCTTACCCGCGCGACAAAGCTACTTATCTCAGAACGGGGCGAGGATATCGAGGACCGGGGGAAAAGGAGTCGGCCGGCGATTAACGAAAAAGCTATGCTCGTCTCTCGTCGGCGCGAGCGTAGCACGATGGATGAACGATGAAGCAATAAGGAAGGAGTGGATTGCAAATGCTCGCCGCGGTTCAAGGTAACTTTGGTGGCAAGATTAGAATTCTGAGATCCGTGCAGGAGATTGTCCCATCGACCTTCGCTATGAAGCAATGCCAAGAAAGCGGCCAAGGGCCTGGAGTCCAGTTGACAGAAAGCGTAACCTCCGAGTCGATGTGGCTCCAATCGAAAGAGATAGGGCAAAACGAGAAAATTGGAGCCAGATGTTGAGATGTAAACAGCTTGACGAACAACCTTACACTATGAGGCACGGATTTCAATCAGAACTTCAGAAAGGGGCTGGGTTTCCGATCTGAGATGACGGCGGGCCTGGTTGTGCTCCACCTCACCACGTGCGGCAGCTTAGGAGGCCGACAGGGAGGACAGAAGCCCGCGGCTGGCGTAAAGTGGGCCTTGGCTGGGCTTTCCGCTCCCCTGGTAAAGCTCCAAATCAGACGCTCAAGCACACATCCTGATGCGGGCTTTGTTATCAGCCGTCGATACCTGATCGAATACTAAACTTTATCCATGGATGTATGCTACGTACATTTGGGTGTTGCAGGACGATGGAACTGGAGCGACGTTGGCTAATTCGTCATTTACGAAGATACTGAATTACTGATAAGGAAACAGGACACTTCCGGAGGCTGATACGATAATCCTTCTCTGCCCCACTTCCCTGTGCAACCTGAGTCTGTGGTGGGATCCGGCCGCGGCAGCATCCACATCGCGCTTCGAGCAAACTAGCGGCGCTTGAACTTTCCAAGTGCGTTTCCTTCCCAGCTAGGGTACAGTACACTGCTCCTGTCCGTCCCATCGCTTATCCTCGCGTTGCTACAAACCCGGTTCATGGAGATATGGACACTCTGACCACTTGGCAGTTTGGCAGGAACAGATCTTGATTCTTGTATGTTCCGTATGTACATACATACAACCACCGGTTAGATTGGTTCAAGTTGTCTCGCCGCGAGACTTTAGGTCATCGAAGCTGATTCCATCCCGATTACCTACATTTCAATTCTGGACTGTCCGGTTCCTCAGATACCACCAATCTAGCGACTCAAAGCGTCCACGGGGAGGGATATTGATAGGAAAGACGCGTTCAAATGCGGGGATTCCGCCTTCACCGACCTTTCCACCTCCACCCTTGACCGCCCCTGACCGCCCTGTCCGAGAGTTGACGTGGGGTTTCTCGGGTTAACCGACGCCTTCTACAACCCTAGACAAACTGACGTGGGATCTACTGCAAGTGTTCACAGCTTGACCAGCTCCAGCCGCGTGTCCATCTCGGGATTCGAGTTTCCCTCACCTGGGGTATTTTTTGAGACAGTCAGCGAGGTGATCGAGAAGAACAGACGAAGCAAACCTGTAGCTTGTTTCCGGCTGTTCTCAGCTACGGGGCTTTCACCACTGCCCGTTTTCTCTTCTTCCCCAAGCAGAACATTTACTACACGCCACTTGCCCGCCTACGGCTGCGTTACTAGTAGTCTGAGGCTGCCTTTCGCGTCCTTCCTCGTGCATGCGGGTCAATAAGCTTCCCAATGTACCCAGCGATAGGATCCCCAGATGCCCCTGAACGGCCGCAACCGCGAAGCTCCTACTTGAGCAATCTTGGTCCAGATCTATGATATTCCACTGTGTTCACAGCTAGGACAAATGGTATAATGGTACACGTCCACGAATTGGACTCCCGCCCCTCTAGACCCGGCCTATCCTCGATCTTAAAACTCAAAGCAAGCTCACGTGTGTCGAACTTTGTAATCGGTGTCCGGTAGATAAAGGTGCCTGTCAGCGCCCTTGGCCGTCAAGACGACCATTCGGATGACGCCGCCTGAGCTGCCGTCCCACTTGATCGCCTCCTTGAGCGCGCCCTTGACAAACTCGACCGCCTCGGCCTCCTCCATGCCCTCCTTCCAATGGGCGTCGCAAAAGCCGTAGATGTATGTCGACCCGGACCCGCCGATCGCGTACGGTTGCTTGTGCAGTGAGCCTCCGAGCGGGATGCTGTAGACCTGGCCGCCGTGACGCTCATCCCAGCCCGCGATGATGAGACCGGCGCTGTTCAAAATCCATTCCGTCAGTCTGAGATTCAACCGCATACAATGGCGCTGATTTCCACTCACGTCAACCGGTCCTTGTTTGCGTAGCAGATCTCTTGGAAGATGGCGGCGGCCGTCTGTGTCGTTGGCGGCTTGCCGTTCATCGTGGCGAATAGGCCTAGCTGGTATTGGACAATGTCGGCAACTGCTTGCGTGTCGGCGGCCGAGCCGGAGCGGCAGCACCAGATGGTGTCATGCACCTGGGTGAGCTTATCGGTTACGCGGTTCGCAATGTACGCTCCCGTTGTTGTGCGAGAGTCGGCGCCTGTACGGAAGAGGAGTGGGTCAGATAGGTAGTCGCGGAAGAGATTGAGGAGATTTGGCGGATGTACCTAGTATAACGCCGTCCTTGAATGTCACTGCCATACTATTGCCATATGTTAGGTCCGAACCGGTCTCGGCTGACGCATGGCTCTGGGGACACGGAGGGTCGAGCTTACATCGAAGTACCTAGGCTGCAAACAGGATCAGCAAATTTCTTCGCTTGGACACCACAGTTGAGCGTGCAGAGACGACGTACTTGACCTCCCCTTTCTTCAACCGGTCCATGTCTAGATGGATACCGTCTTGGGGCGCAGCCGTCAGCATCACCACCTCAGTTGCCAGCGTAGGTGGAGCAAGCTGTACCTTCGCTCAGCGAGCCCGAATTGCCAAACTCCATTGTCGCGAAAGTGGAAAATTGTTGGGAGTAATTCCGGGCTGTGTACAGATCGCAGTCGCCTAAGAATCTCGGAGCCTGGGAGTAATTTGGGGGTTCCGAGGAGTACTGTGGTTACTTGTCGTCGAGCTTGGGGTTGAGCTTGGGTTGGAAGCTCAAGGCAGCTTAGACACACGCATGCGCCTCGCCTGGGCCCCGGGGCCCAGGCTGAGGTGGGTCACGTGAAGGTGATACAAGCGTTCTTATCATCAAAAATTGAGTTATCTTATCTATATTATCGATAACGAGGGCACTCGGTGAGGTAGCAGAACACCAGCAGCGGTACGCCCTGTTGGCAAGGGCCCGACTGTCGTTAGTTGAGATGGAATGCGTTACCTATGATTATGCAGGATCTCGAGGTACTGTGCTTTAAAACAACCTTGATAGGCATCAGCGTCGCGCTACTGGCACGCCGGTCCGTGGCCGAACGGATGGAACTCGGGTGCAATGAAACAGATGCAGCTTCATCTTAGACATATGGCAAATCAATATTCATATCAGGATGCCCAGGACATCATCAACCCAAGAGACAATACTCAGCCCCCTCTGATCAATCCTTCCTCCCTTTCAAGACTGACACCCGCCCTCTCCTTCAAGTCTCCGCCGTTGTTCTTTTTCTCGTCGCCGCAACCGCAGTCGTAAAAGTCGCCAATGTTGTTGCAGTCAAACTCGGGTTTCTTAAGCCGCTTGTTGACCTGGTTATGTACATAGCACGCCCAGCCGGCAGCGGCATTCCTGCTGCTGGTCTGCGGGGGATACTTCGCCAGGAGTTTCTGGAAGTGGGCGGCACAATCGCCGCAGGGGTATAAGCGCGCAAAGAGCTGTATATACGTTTGGAGTGCAAGCCTGTCGTCCGGCGTCGGCTGCTCGGGAAAGCGCGCCATCATGGTATGCAGGAGCTTCCAGGACGCTCGGCCGAGCTCGGCTCTATTGAGGAGAGGTACTGTCAGCGCGCACTGCCGGAAGGGCCAAGAAAGGAAACAATGCGTCGTGCTCACTTGATCGTCGCGTTCTCGAGCTTGGGCGCGATTGACCCGCCGGTTAGGATGCTCTCTGAAATGCCGGGCACAGCGCCACTTCCGCTAGTTCCGGGGCTACTGGTATGGCCGGTGCTGATCCAGGACTCGTCCGCCTTGACATACTGGCTGTTTGAGCCGCTAGACATAAAGTAGGTCAGAGTTATGAATAGCAAGACGCCGACTAGCGTCAGCGTAATGTGTTGCCGCCGCGCCATCTCGGGGTCGACGCTGGGCGCAGTATGGAACCCTTGGACGTTTGGGTGGCTTATGCTGCCACGATATTTTAAAGACCGAAAGCCAACCCTCTCAGAGGGTACTAAAAGGAGTGACTGCTGGCATGAGCACAAAGAATGTTTAGAATGAAGGGGAATGTCGGACGGGTGTCGGTCAGGAGTCGGAAAGGGCTCTTCGCATGTTCTGCGTGGTCAGTGCACGATAAAGTGCTTGATCTTCGTAAATCAAGGGTAACTTAGTGGTGGAGCAAGTCCGCGGCAGGCAGCCGGAGCGGGGTCTAGATTCCGAGCATCTGGCACTGGGATTGCAGGGGATCTCGATAGGAACGCTGTTGCGAATTTCAACCTGCCTATGGACTACGGATATGTACGTAGACAACGGTTGACCTTTCTGAGGCATCCGTTAATACAGCAATAATTAGTCTGACTTGAACAGATTGCATTTGCGAATTTGCAACCCAGCAGCAGTACCTCTTACACGTATACGCTAACCGTTCGATTCAAAGGGCTATGTATGTACAGTACATACTGTATATACACTTCGTATAGTCTTGTATTTACGTTGCTTACCAGTATTTGATAGGTTGGTGAAACTAGAACGCCTCTCTACAAGGGAACCACTCCAGGCGCACTAGCACTTTCTTATCGGCGCATTAATACCCATAAGGGTTAGGGTTATCGCTAGCATCGCCCCTATCTTCCTACACCAACCCTGAGAACCCATCTTACTATAGTTCAATTGTGACGAATCTCGTGTCCCCCACCACTGAAAGGGACTCCTCAGACTGAAGGTTGACTTGAACGGGGTGAGGTTCGGTAGAGCCAAAGGGTCTACAACAAGTGCACAAGCAAGTGTTCACACAGTAGTAATGACAACTGCTTGTATTGCTTACTGGAGAACCTTCTGAAGGTCCTCCTAACGAGTGACTAGCTAGCCTTGTATATATATTCCATTGTTTCACCATGCTCACTGGTGATAATGTCGATTATCACCAGTGTCACTCGTGATAGTAGTGAACTCCCTTCACTTATCACCTCACGTGTTTTACCTTGGCAGTGATAATCCTCTGATTGGTCCATTGAATGATTGGTCGCCAGGCGTCCCGCGGACCCGGCTGCAGCCCCTCAGGCCGCCAACAATGGTCATTCCATGACATCTTGCTAGAGCACCTGTCTGACGTCAACGTCATGCCCGCCATCTCTGCCAAAACGGCAGACTCGAGATACCCACATCATAGGTCACCATGGGAATAAATAGAGTACTGCAGCCATGCGCTGATGAGATCGTGTTGCATCCCACTCAGCCTCCCATTTACACCAAAGTCACCACAGTCCCGCTAGCAGCCGCTCCATCTTGATAGGAACTACCTAACATCACCTTCCATCACTACAACCATTATGGAGTGGGCCAAGGACCAGTACAACAGGCAATACGAACGATGGGTGCCCTGGCTGGAAGAGCTCTATCTCCGCTATTTCACGCGCGACAATAAGGCGAGCTATACCACTCGCGGTAAGCGACCCTTCGCTGGAACAAACCCGAACTCTGCATACCTGAACTGGTAAAACTAACCCTTGCTTCAGAAAACCTTAACAAAACCAAAATCATCTCCAATCCCCAGCTCAACACCCTCCAAGACGGCGTCAACTCACTCGTAGCCGACCAGGTTGGTCAAGACGGGCTGGCCGCACCGGCAGGCGATCTTGTTTCGCGTGAGGGGATCAACCGGCTGGAGAGGAAGGGCAAGGACGAGCAAGGTCGCTATGTAGCTGCGCCTGAGGCTGCTGGCGGGGCAGGGCGGGCGGTTGCAGGTGCTGGGAACGCGCTTGTCGGAGGGGTAGTTGCGGGCGGGGAGCAGGCCGCCTCCACGGCGAAGGCGGGCGGGAAGAATGTGGGTGGATGGTTTGGGCTTGGTCGCTAGGAGGGGATGTGACTGTTCCCTTTTATATAAGCAGAGGAGGGTCTAGAGGTTTGTGGGATTGGAGTTATGGGTCGAATGGAGCATACAGATTACTGGGATACCTTTCGCGGTTGGTGTTGGACAGCGTGGAGTTAGATACCCCGTTCGTTTACCAGGCAGTACCTGTCTCAGTGTACTGATATGTGAGCAAATGATAGGAGTTATTGTGTCAAGCTGGAGTTCAGGGACTCTGGCAAGGGATCCAAACCAGACTACGCTCGCAGGCTTTAACGTTAAGTGCTTTGGCGACCAGGGATGCGGTTTAGTATGTATGAGCTGGCTCCCCCGAACCGGGATGTGTTTGTTCGAGCTGAACACACTGATCTTGGTATACAACGTCGTGGTCCTCAACAATTTGATCTGAAATACGAATAGTGGAGTTGACCCAGAAATGAGGACAGGAAAGATCAGTTAAAAGTTTGAAAGACAACAGAGTATGGGAAAGCAGAGGCCATCGAGATATCTTAGATGCTTCACCGCCGTAGTCTGAAAACGCCCGTACACATCAAACAAGATCCAGACAAATACCTATAAATGCAACTCCGGTTCAACCTCCTTCAATATCAATTCAGTCAGTGGTATCCCTATTCAATAATACATGTATACCCTAGGTAGTCGCAAACACCCTCACGAACCCCTTGACAGTCGCTTCAAGCGATGTTGATGTACAATGGTCAACGTACAACACCCCCGCTACCACGAGCAACCAAAGCCTCGTCCACACTCTGACGCATGCCTGCCGACATCAGACTACCTCAATACCGTCTCAATAACCAACCGCTGCGCTTAGCAGCCCAACCCAGCCGGATTGATCGTCGCCGCAGGCTGCAAGCCTGCCTCGGCCGGCTGAGTCGGCTGGGCTCGGCTTTCACCACCCTCATTCTCTTCAGGTTCCTCCCCCTCCTCAAAAATCTTTTCTTCCACCACCTCACCAGGGCCCATGATGATTGGACTGAACGACTCCACCTCTTCCACCTCCTCCTCCTCCTCCACATCGATTTCCCTCCCGGCACCAGGGCCATAAGCCTCGCCCTCCTGATCATCTTCCTCCGCATCCTCATCAACCTCTTGGATCGCCATCTCCCCACTCCTCCTCCCTAACCCACTCGCACTGGCACTCCTCGAATGAGAATGACTGGCTGACGCAGAGCCCGAGGCGCTCCTCGTTTCCCTGACACTCACACTAGTCACACCCAGACCGAGCATAGGCCCTTTAAAGAGATTCCTCTTCCTCTTGGCAAACATCACCCCTCCGCCGGAAAAAGGGTTAGGGCTCCCTGGAGGCTGCATCAACGCTGCCGCGGTGGGGTTCGGCACACCCTCATTGAAGACATTCAACGGTGGCCCACTGCGGTCGCGGACTAGGCGTATATTACTCGGGAACCCACCCGTGGTTGGCGTGGCAGGCAGCACCTTGACTGAATGATGCGGTGAGCGGCTGGTGTGCATCGGCGTCTTGGAGACAGACGTCGATACCGATCCATTCGAGGATGTCGAGCTGGCCTTGCTGTGGCTGTGGTGGTGGGTCGGGTGCATGGAACGGACCGAGGACACAGATGACGAGGTTGACTTGCGACCCCTCAGCCCCGTCTGCCCTGACGATCGACGGACCGTCGAACGCGGAGTCAGAGGTGACGGAGATAGTGAATGGCGTTTGTAGGAACTTGAGCTGTGCATACGAGGAACGTGGCCAGGTATGGGTGGAGTGGTAAGAGGAGGAGAGATGGGTTGCGAGGGGCGGCTGGCAGCTGTTGAGGCGCCTTTAGCCGTGTAGCCATTAGCTACGACGCCTTTGGGAAGACTTGCGGTGTTTACGGCCGGCCCGGAGCTGCTCGCGGGATACTTGCTCGTCTGCGGCCGCGGGCTGTCCTTTGTCTTAACATCCTTTCCGCTCGCCGGCTTGGGCAGCAGGTTAGGTGTTGACTGGCTGCCTCGCCTGTTCGAGTTGATGTGCCGTTTTGTATTCTCAACCAGCCAATGCGTCCAGTTCCTCCAAGTGGCGAAGATTGCGTGTGACGGTCGCTTCTTCATTTTCTTTAGATCGCTGGCTTCTGAGGTGCCGTTCGCCTCCAACGCATCACTTGTCGTTACCAGATGCAGCGTCGATCCCCGAGAGCGCGCGCTCCGCAGAATTCCCTCCTTTGGCGGCGGTATTGGCCTGCGGTGTCTGGAAGAGCTGACAGATCTTATTGAATCCTTGTCAACAGGGGGCGGTGGCACTTCGCCATCTGGACTCATGTTCCCATTCGCAATCTTGGCCAGGTCTGTGAGGTCAGGCATATCCGGAATCGCCAAGCTAGGATAATAGCCGCTTCTCCTCTCTGTCCTTCCCCGCGTCCTAGGCGGCGGAGGGTCAGATAATTTGACAAAATGCGCTTCCTCCACGGTCGCCAGTGCGTTCAGCCGGCTAGAGGCCTGTGAGAATCGCCGCGAGTTGCGGTTTTCCGCCTCTCTCTCCTTGCGCTTTCTCTCTCTTCTCTTGGCCTTCCGCTCCTCCTTTTCGATCAAAAGAGTCCACCAGCCGGCCAGAGCGTCGCATCTTTGGGCGAGCACGTTCTCAACGACAGCGTCAGTATCTACCCCGGCACTACGCATTCGATGCAACGTCTCCTTCTCCAGCGGGGTTGAAAAGGGATCGGGGCGCTCAGTTTCGAGAATCTCTTGCTGTTGTTGCGCGTATTCAGCAAGGAACGGATGAGCCAGGATATCGGGTAGTGTCGGCCGAAGCAAAGGACGTTTGGAGAGGAGGGACTTTAGGAGTGACAGGGCATCTGCAGGTATGTGATCCGGGTAGTTGGGCTCCTGTGTCAAGATCCTAGTTCTTGTGACGTTGTCATCATCATCGTCAAACGGTAACTCGCCGCAAAGCAACGCGTAGAGGATGACGCCAAGACTCCAGACATCCACCTTTTCGCCCGCGTATTTCTCCCCCTTGAGCATCTCGGGCGCCGAGTAGCATATTGTTCCACAGAACGTTTGCAGATAGTTGGCCTTGCCCTCGTACTCCCGCGTGAAACCAAAGTCGCAGAGCTTAACATTCTCGTGCTTGTCAAGAAGGATGTTTTCGAGCTTCAAATCGCGATGTACGCAGGATTGTTTATGGACGTAGCATACAGCGCCGACCAGCTGTGCGAAGATTCGCTGGACTTTATCGACGGGGAGTTTGCCATGTTTCAGGAGGTAGTTGTACAGCTCGTCGCCTATCCCGGATTAGCGCTCGAAGTCGTCCATCGCACCGAACAAACTTGTCATACCGGGACAGTATTCCAATACCAGCCAAACAAGGTTCTCGGTCACAATGACCTCGTACAAGCGGGCGATGTGGGGGTGGACGAACTGGCGATGGTGATGTATCTCTCGGGCCAGGTTCGAGTCGTCCTTGTTGGCCGACTTTAGAACAACCTACAGGCTTGAGTCAGGTAATTCCATGATGGCCTTTCTAGAGTTCGTGACCACGGACCTTGGATCCATTTGTGAGCTTGTGCGTAGCGAGATAGACTTTGCCAAATGATCCCTTCCCAATCAGCCGACCTAGTGTATAATTGCCTACGGATTTGAGGTCCTTGTTCGAGAACTCGCTATGGTGAAGCAGCCTGTCAGCAATGCGAGTGGCACGCGATCGCTCGGGAATGGGTTTGCGTACTCGAGAAGCTCTTGATATGATTGAGCAAGCTAGCGTGCGTGACACCTGCGTCAGCCCTCACGGACATGTTGGATAGGCCAGTGAAGCCTGAATGACACACCTTGGCCTTCCTTCCAAGCGCCTCGGCTTTCACCTTTGTCGTCTGCATCCCTCAGCGGTGTCGGGCGGCGTCTGGTGCTCGCCAACGGAAGATCAAGCGTCGGCGCAGCTCAGGGATGATTCGAGTCAATGGCTGTGCAGGTGATTCCCCGGCAAGATGCCGTGTTCCGGCTAGGGAAGGCTTTCGCGTCGGGTGCAGTAGAGAATCTGCCAAAACCTGGAACTGGCTTGGCCCGCTGCCATAGTCGTGGTGATGCTTGGGGAAATTACCTAAGTTGGAGCGCGAAGCTCAGTTAATGCAACAATGGGGAGCCGTCGACAGGAGCGGAAAGTGGTGGAGCAAGCCGCCTAGGTAGCATATGAAAACGTCCAGCGCCTGTGCTCTGCTTGCTGGGAAACGGGTTGATGCAGCTCAGGAGTCAAGGCTCCAAATTGTTAGCCCGACCCACATGCTGCAGGGCGAAAGTGGGAATCATGGAGCCACAGTTGAGTGGACCACAGCTTTCGTACCAAATAGGAAGTACTTCCGTACGAAGTAATACCAGATGCAATACGTTCGTACCTCCGTACCTTTACATAGTACGAATAATTAAGGGGTTTCTGATGATGGTACTCCTACACTACTCGGTATAGTATACGCCGTATCTGTTGAGGCCCTCGATCGAGACATTGCGAGGGCTTGGGAGGATGTGGAAAATAGGACCTGACATGATAGGTCTTTCCGCGGCGTCATGCAAGGGATACAGGGTGGAAAAAAATCTCCAGACAAATCCCGGGGCCAGTTCGACACTTGGCCCTGAAGCCGCGGAGGTGTCACTGTGTCAAAATGTTAACGTTTTCGTATGATCGTATCTTTGATCACGGTGTGACATTGACCCCGATCCGACGGATGGCGACAGTCTCACAGGCACCAAACCATGTGAAAATGGCCAAGAGAGAGTTGCACAATCCCAAGCATACATCGAGCATCTCAAGTTCTCAACATCCATTCCATCCCAGGAACACCGTGACAAGCAAAATACGAAGACAATGGTCATCGGCCAGCCACAACCACACGACGCACACACGTTCCAAAACAGCAGTAGAAATAAGGTATCCTACCCTCCCCGCTCCCGTCCATCCACTTGTTCACCTTTCGGTCCTTTCCCCCCATCATGCTTGATATCCTTATCATCCTTATCCTTACTATCCTGAGCCTTGCTATTATGATTATTATCACCACCAAGACTCAGCACATCCCTCCACCGCCCCGGATCCTGAAGCACATCAAAAGCCCTCTCCTTCTTACTCCTCATTCCCTCCCTTTCCTCCTCCTCCTCCCGTGCAGCTCCCCCCTCGAGATCCCCCAACCGGCTCTCATCGCTCGAGCTGAAACTGCTCCCGCTCGGACTCCTGTTGAGCACCATCCTCACCAGCTGACCACCGCTCTCCCGCTTCTTGGCCTCGCGCTGGGCGCGCTTCATCTCGGCGAGCCGCTCGTCTGCGCAGTCCAGCGCCAGCACGTGCAGCCCGGGGAAATTGCGCTGCAGGAACTGCTGCAGGTCCAGCAGGGTCGATTCGTCGGGCCGGTACGTCCCCGAGTCGTTGTCGATGACCAATTGGTACAGGCTTGGGTCGCGCGGGGGCGGGGAGGAAGGCGGCCCGTCGGGCAGCTCGGGTTCGGGCGGGTGAGTACGCTGGTTGAGCTCATGATCCAGGGCGCTGTCCCTGTCGTGGGGTTTGGGCTCGTGGTCGTGAACTGGGCCGGAAGATCCTTCACTGTCTTCCCCGCCGTGATCAGCTTCATGATGGGTGTTGTGGCTGTGGCTACGGTCATTGTGGACGGGATGGGCGAGGCGGCGGCGGATCAGAAACTCGCCGGCGCAGGCGACATAGGTGGCCACGTCGGAGTGCATTGTGTGTTTGCTCAGCAGGTCGACGCCGAATTCCTTGCCCGTCTCGGTGAAGCGCATCATGCCGTCAAGGGTGATGACGTAGGTAAAGATGCGGCCGCCTTCGTCAAAGTGGGCCATTTTCAGGAACTGCAACGAGGCTTCTTGGCTGCACGGAGGAAAAGAGCCATATTCGGTGCTTGAGTCATAGTTGTAGATGCGGTTGTGTTGCTTGTGCAGGACCTTGTTCAGGATACGGCCCCTGACCCCCTGCGACGAGAACATACGGCCAATCATGGGCCGGAACTCGACGTAGCGGTGGTAGAGTTTTGGGGGCACTGGGCCGGAGAGCTGAATCTCATTTGCTTGGAAACTGTCGGATGGTTGTAAGTATCGGTGCTCTCATCTACGGGTCGACAATGGAACAACCGGGCGACGATACTCACTCGTACTTCTTCGTCTGCTTGTCGCCTTGGTCGGAGGGCGCTGCGTCGTCGTGCTCCTCTCTGTTCACCTTGACGCCCGTCAACCTTCCAATCATGGGACTGTAGTGCTTCACCCATGTCGTCGGCCCGACCGTGTACATCTGGGCATGTGGAGGGTCCGACTTGCCGAGCACCTCAATGCCGATGCGCAGCCTAGGGGTCATTGGACCGCTGTTGCACAGCACAGATGTCACACCCCGGATGAAGTAGGCTCTCTTGCTGCCGGCTCGCTTCTTGACGTCGAACACCTTTCCATCCGGCCCAAACCCCTCCCAGTTCTCGTCCACATGCGGCACTCGGATGGTGACATTCCCGAGCCGGTCGTCATGGTCCGGCCAATCCTCATCATACAGTCGACATTTGAGCACGAACCCCGATGCCGGCACATTGGCAACAACCCACTCGTCCTCCCATGCGGGCTCAGTCGTCCTCCTCAAGGTCCGGGTGCGGTGGGTTAGCAGCGGGTCTTCCTTGTGTCGCTTTGGAAGGGAAGATATCAGGGTTGCGTGCAGAAATGGATCGCAAGATTTGAGGTGGAGGTCACCGATGGGCAGATTGAAGGCTTGGTGAAAGGTGAACTTGACTGTGTAGCCTGGCGGAGCATCAGGGAGTGGAGTCGGGTCGAATCCGCCAGGGGGCTTCGACTTGGTCTTGAACTGTTCCTTCTTGTCGGCGAACTTCTCCTTTTGCTCCTGGAACCTGTCACGGAGATCACTGGTTGCGGCTGTTCTGAGGTTCTTCGCTCCGTCGATCCATGTCTCCCTCCGGTTGTGCGCTTCTCCGTTTTCCGCAGCTTGCCGGCCCGTGGTATGCTCAGGCGACTTTGCGTTAGCCCGGCCGTTCAAGGAAGTTACGGCATCTGCTGAGTCTCCGGCCGACATTGGAGCTGGCAGCGGTCAGCCCGGGAATGAAATCTGTGCCTAATGTCTTGTCGATTGGAAAGATATCATTTTCTAGGCCCCTAACACGTCTACTACCTACTCAAGACACGGCGCCGGCGTGCAGTTGAGAATCCGTGTAAGGTAGGCTTCGTGCTGTTGTCAAAACGGGACAAGTTGAGAAAAGCGCCCGGAGGATCTACTGAACGATACACTGAGGATTCGGATGCCCCGGAGTATACGCTCAAGTGCAGAGCGTGCAATCAAGAATGAAGGCCTGGGATAGAAAACCCTGATCTATGTTCGAACTACTTCCTACACATGTACCAGACCGACCTGCGCTGTTGCTGTGAGTCGCGGGAATTACCCGGGGCCCGAGTCGCAATCAGCTGCGATTGTTGATGTGTTGGTCGACTGGTAGCGAAGCTCAGCTCGCACTCAGAATTGCTTGGACCCGAGAATGGAGTGACGTCACGGTCGGGCAATTTGGGGGCGGACAAGAGTGGTCAAGACCTGCCCCACATGAGATCTCTCTCGAGTTACGTCCCTTCACCTTCATGGAGATCCCTGGCTCTCGAATCATCTACACTACATACCTGTAAAATGTACGATTCTACTCTTATCATAGGACCATGCCTTAAAAACATCCCCTGATGTAAGTAGACATGCAACCCAGACAACCTGAACAATAATTCCCTTACTTTCCCCCTCAAGCAATCACCCTCCCACCCCCTAACCCCCCCTTTTCGCACTCCAACACCAACGGCCCTCCGCCCGGACCGCTCGCGTCCAAACTAACCGTGACCTTCCCCCTCTCAGCCACAACAAGCATCGTCTCTCCAATATTCCGATAATCCGTCTCACAATGCCCCGCAGGCCCATCCCCATCATCCTCTGATCCAATCCTTCTAATCTCCACGTTCGGATAAGGCAGGTATCCTTCCCTTAGGGGTATCAACACGATCGGGATATCTGCCTCAGTATCCGGCGTAGAACTCTCACTCACGACGCGCCCGTCCACGTCTGCAGCGGGGGCCGGAATCACAAAGTGCCCTTTCCTTCTGCCCCCTAAAAGCCAGGTATCCCCCGGCGACGTGATTTCGTAGCCAAACTCCAAGTCTGGCTGCCCTCCTTCGTCTGCCGAATTTGCCGTATCCCATATGCGCGTCCATTTGAGGTGAAGCGTTGCTGGCAGGAGCTGGTTAACACACACCGTCGGGCAACCCATGTCCGCATTGCCCGTGATCGTGTGCAGGGGTTTGTCAAGGCGAATATCTGCTGTGTGGACGACCGAGACGGAGGGTATATCGACCGGTATAATGATCGTGTTGCAGTTAATTGCTGCCGTTGGGCCAGGGTCCGGGAGTAACAATGTCGAATGCCTTCGCAGCCAGCCGCGGATAAAATCTGTTACACTCTTCCGGGAAGCAACCGTGTTGTCGGCAGAGGCCGAGGCAAGCCCGAGCCCGGCAAACTGTTTTTCCCAGTTAACGCTGGCCAGAAACTCGGTTGGCAACTCGCCCAGCAAGCTGGCCTTCTCGAGGTCATAAGCCGATAAGCCAGTTCGAACCCAGCCGAGGACTTTGGATACCACCAGCTTCGACAATTCCTTGAGGGGTGTCTCCTGGAGCTCTTCTACAAGAGTTTGCTTGAACAGCGCCGCGATCTCCTCTTGAACAACGCTGTAGTAAAGTTTGAGGTACAGCGTTTTTTTCGCCTTGGGACCAAGCTTTGATCCTGGTTTCCTAGTGATTTTATAGAGCAAACTCGCTGGTTGTTTGGGGAACACGAGCACCGGGTGGTTCGGGGGCTGGCCAAAGTGCGATTCAAAGACGTCAGAGCTAAGGAGTTCGCTCTTCAACAGTCTCAACGGACTGTCCGTGGCCGTTGACACGGCAAACCGTGAAAAGAGAGCATCGTGCTTGAAAATGTCTTGGACATTGACTTCCAGGGCCAGCGAGATTGGAACAGACGACGTCTTGAAGAATGTAAAGGTTCCCTGGTCGGTCGAGTATGCCACTTCCGCCCTGACAGATACATCGAGCAAGTCTTGCTCGACAGTGAATGGGAACCTGAACCGGATGGAGCTATTTGCCCCCATGGCGCCGAAAGTAAAGGTACCACCTTCTGACTTTGTGGGCTGCGGCGAGCCAATGACCTCAGCCTCGCTCATGACGAGCCTCAAACCGCCAGTGGCGGACTTGATTTTGACCTCGCACGTCTTGATTGTGTTCCACCCTGTTGAGAGCTCGAGATCGAGGGATTTCTTCTTGTCGAGCTGAAGATCTTGAGTGCCCATGAGCTGAACATCCAGGCAGCTCGTGCGCTGATAGAGGGCGACACGCGCATTCTTGAAAAGGCCCGACAACTTGTCTTGGGTTTGATTGATGTCGCGCTCGTAGTACAGCAGCACCTTCTTGCTGCGCAGCTGGACCTGGTCTACCTCGAAGGTCCCCGACATCATGACGGTACTTCGAACCCGCACCTTATTCAGGCCAGGCCTGATATTCACCGGGCCCTTGGTCTGAAGCCAGATCTCCTTGTGTCCTCCGGGCGTTGAAGCTGCGATCCTTACGCTGACTGAGGTCGCCTCGAATTCATCCACCAACAAACTGCGGAGATCGAGAAACAGCGAGAAGCTGTCTTGACCATCGTCATAAAATGGTGGTCCGTCGAGCCCCATGTCGCAGAAAAAGTTCGCCAAGGGGATCCTGACATCTCTTGCAAGCGATGTTGACGTTTCCAACAAACTCTCTAAAAACCCGGATATCGCCGAAGACTCTGGGTATTGTACGGTCGAGGTGAGGCCGATCCGGAACCGGGACTTCTGCTGCAGCCTATCCCTCTCGGCGGCAGCAGCTTTGGATAAGAGTTGGCGAAGCGCCTGGTTGACGTAATCGTCTAATCTATTCAGTTCCTTCAGACACCGGGCATACAAGACGAGCATGGAGAGCTCAAGGAGGCTCCATCCGCTCTCGCCGAACAACGGAATAACTCTGTAAAAGTAAGTGGCCGCCTCGCTGAATTCGCCGAGATGGAATTTTAGCACGGCAAGATCAGCCAGGCTAGATTGGACCGAGTGTGTATGGTTGGCAACCGTGTAGTGGCGAAGTGCCTTGTCGATAAGTGTCTCGTAAAGCCGGTAAAAATCGTCCTTGTTGTCGAGGCCTGTTCGGAGGAGGGTATTCGTGACGCCAGCAATCGATGCTTGCAACCTGTCTGTAGAGTCTGGCGTGGTCTTTGTCTCGGAGCCTTCAGCCTCCAAATTGATATCCTCCATCTGCGAAATCCCAGTTTCCCCAACAACAGGTACAGAGGCCCATCCATCTGTCCAACCTCGCTTCTTCCCACATTCCTCGAGTATGTTTCTAGACAGGGCACATAGCTCAGCCCTCCTTGCGGCCAGCTCTTCGAGACCGGGCTTGACATAAGGTGGAAGCACCATGTTACCCTCTGCTGAGCTGCCGGGGCCTGGAAAGTCAAGGGGACTTGGTGGTGGACGTTGAGCAGCTTGTCCATGTAGTGACGAGTTCCTTGCCGGATGCATCATCGTTTTCGGCTCAGGTATTGATGTCTTTTGTTCTTGAGCATCGGAAGATGAGCCAAGAGTAGAGGGCGGGATCGGGAGCGCTTTAGTAGAAGTCTGAGCAAGGATCTGTTGGGCAACCGAGAAGGCGAAAGAGGAAACCATATTGTCGACAACCTCAGAATGTAGTGGAGTCAGATTCACCTCGTTGTCGTCTCCGCCCCCTTCAACCATCCTTGCAGATGCCAGGGCAGCTATGATATCTCTGCGCATCACCGTTGAAATCGCAGGAACAAACTCCAAAGTCCTCTTGCAGATCTCTGCTAGTTGTGACAAGTTTTCGGGCTCATCGGTTATTTTTGGAAGCGGAGTTCTGGGGGCTACTCCTCTTGGGACCAACTCTTGCTGCTCTTTGAGCTTAGCCAAGGGCTCTTCCCGAGTTGACCAAGCGTTGCCCAACCGGAGCAGGAGCGCGATCTGGCGGGCAAAGATGTAACACCTAAAGTCGAAGAGAGATACGTTATTGGCTAGGATGAGATCACGGTATGGCTTCTTTGACGCGCTGATGGGAATGCCGTCGAACTGGTCTCGACTTTTCTTTTCTCCAGACTGAAGATCGACAGCCTCCTCCTCGTCAAACTCTAGATGGCCACTGCTGATCTCGGCCACTGCCTTTTGTGCAAGCTCCCTCAGCTCTGGGGTGTAGCTGAGCAACGCGCCGCCGTGAGTTTCGGCAGACCCCGCGATCGCCTGCTCCTGGATGATCATGTCCAAGCCGACGCTGAGCTCGTCATAGCCAACCAAAGCGTCTTCAACCAGACCAACACTCTCGAAGCCACGAGCTAGTCCTTCCTTGAGAATGAAGAAGGTGCAAAAGTTCCAGCCGGGGAGGCTCCTTTGCCCGTCTCTCTCCTTGATGTCTTCCTCGTACTGGCGGACGCGGGTGTCGAAGCTTGACAAGATGAGCTCCTTGAATTTGGCGATCAGATCTGCCCACGCGTTTTCGCTCTCCTGCTCGGTCTCTTGGTATCCCGTGGGCACCGCGGGTACAACGCGGGGCAGCATGCTGTATGGGACATCGTTGATTCCGATCCGGATCTGACAGACACGGTCGATGGCGCCCTTGGCAGAGCCGTTGAAGTCGTTGCGCATCTTTTCTAACAGAGTGCTCGAGCCACCGCGCCACCGGGTGGCCGTCGAGAGCTTGGTGGCGTCAGAGCCCGAGTCTTGCACCTTGCTGCTGGCAATCCGGGGCTGTGTGGCAGCGGCCGAGTTTGGTAGCACAACGTGTAGGATGAGCCACTCGAAAGCATCGTGATTCTCAGCATTGCTGCCATGCTTGCCATGGGACGGAAGGGTGTGTGTCTTGATCCACTCGCGTATTTCAGCCCTCGTTGTCGACTTGTAGGTGTCGTTGTCGTCACATCGTACTACCAAGACTTTGAGATACGGCGTCCGGCGCAGTCCGGGTATCTGATGTCGACGCTCCTTCGAAGACGCTGTTGCCGGGGGCCGAAGAGTGGCGGCGGTGGAATCGGCCGACTGCTCTGTGGAAGCCGTCCGGCCACCCACCACTGCTGTCTGGAATCCATCGTCACTCTTGGACGGTGTGGCGGTATCGTTCGCAGCCGGTGTCTTTGGGGGGTTTGGAGAGGATAGCGGGCTAAAGATGGTCGAGTAATCGCCGCCCGCTGGAACGAGTTCGACATGGAGCGTATCGATGGACCGAAGCGGCCCGGCATGAGACTGCCAGTTGAGGTTGCGGAGTGGCAGCCGGGGAATCAATCCGGGCGCAAGAAGCTTGTAGACATCGTGAGGATCGTGATACTCGACTGCAGGAGAGAGGGGTTGTCAACGTCAACAAAACAGAGTTACTTCGAGGTTTAACCTGGTTCTAACCTGTAACTTTTGAAGACGAGAAAGGTTGTTCCATATTGAACTGAGGAAGGACGATGTCTAGGGTACCACCATTTCCCAAGCCGCAATCACCAACACGAGCAGGCGGCTTGCTCGCTCGTTGATGTTCCGGGTTCAAAGTACGTATGGGTTGGAAACAACTGGGGTACCTTACCGATGGTGTCTGGGGTTTGACATCAACCCCCACACCGCCTTTGCAGGTCGGGCGGCAGAGAGAGCGACAGGGGTGGCAGTTCCCTCACACCAGCGCGTTTCAGGAATAGCGTGCTCTTGATCGGCGGGCTGCAGCCAGTGGGGCACGATTTCCGTTCAATCTCTGGACCCTTATGTTACGCAGACGGCTGTAACTTACTGTAAGTTACTGTACTACATACATGTTGTATTGTGGTGCACCCCACTTCGGTAATTCGACCTGAAGTGCTTAACTACACCGGAGGGGCAAACCATCTCAGCATTCTCGAACCCTCATCCGACTTCAAAAACGTTCTAAAACTTCGCGATCAGACGGATATTAATGTCACATTGACTTCCTTAGTATTAGCTCCTTCTTGTCCCATAGCAGTCGGCTGGCACAGCAACGAACTGCCATGGCTACTCTACAGGCGATCAAGTACAAGCGGGGCAAACTGCTAGTCTTGGACCAGCTCAGGCTGCCCCACGAACACCACTATGACGAGGTTTCGACCGCGGAAGAGGCGTTCGACTGCATCCGGTCGATGAGGGTTAGGGGTTAGTCCGACTCTATCGAACTTACATCTTTGGGTGTGCCCCTGGCTAACCGTTGCTCAGGCGCGCCAGCCATCGCCATCGTGGCCGCCCTCGCATACGCCGTCGAACTGCACAATGGGGGCTGCAGTGAGTGACAACCCCTTCAAGCCCCATTAAGCGCGACTTTGACATCCGTGTAGCTGCGACAACACCAGAAGAGACCATTGCGCAAATCGAATCGCGGCTTGACTATCTCAAGGAAAGCCGGCCAACCGCCGTCGACCTCTCGAATGCTATCTCCCTTCTCAAACAGGCAGCCAGGGCTGCCAAACGTGAGGGCTTGGCACACCCTGAGGCCAAGGAGGCCATCCTGAACTCGTACATCGAGACAGCCGAGAAGATACTGGCAAAAGACCTCGAGAACAACACATCAATTGGCTCCTACGGTACCTCGTGGCTCCAGCACCAGTATATGCTATCGTCCAGCCGCACAATCTCCGTCCTTACGCACTGCAACACGGGCTCGCTAGCCACATCCGGTCACGGCACTGCCCTTGGAATCATCCGAACTCTACACGCGAGGGGGCTGCTCAAGCACGCATACTGCACCGAAACGCGACCCTATAACCAGGGCAGCCGTCTAACGTCGTTCGAATTGATCTTCGAAGGCATCCCCGCCACCCTGATTACGGACAGCATGGCGGGCGCATTGCTCTCCCTCCACAAGGAGCCCATGAATATTGGCGCCGTCATCGTGGGCGCCGACCGCGTCGTACGCAACGGGGACACGGCCAACAAAATTGGCACCTACGCGCTCGCCGTTCTCGCGCGGCATCACGGCGTCAAGTTTGTCGTCGCGGCGCCGACGACGAGCATCGACCTTGAGACCGAGACGGGCGCCGACATCAAGATTGAGGAGCGGAAGCCCGAGGAACTGACCCAGATCAGCGGGGCCGTGGTGAACCCGGATGGCAGCATTGATACCAGCAGGACGGCGCGGGTGGCGATTGCCGATCAGAGAATCAGCGTCTGGAACCCGGCCTTCGATGTCACGCCGCATGCACTGATTGACGCTATCGTGACGGAAAAGGGGACAGTGGTGAAGGGTGCGGATGGAAAGTTCGACTTGAGCAGCGTATTGCAAAGCAACTAGGTGATGTTCTCGGGATGAGGTCAGGTTTTGGAAGAGTACTTGATGCATCTTAACTCTCCATAGCGGTAAGGTTGATGCGACCGACAAGTTTACAAGACCTATTGTCTCAAAAAAGAACCGGTATTGTTCCTGGAGTTTCTGGAATGGGAGCTGACTCGAGGAACAAGAACTTTCAGGCTTGCCAAAGCACGGTTCCCCTCGTGCAGGCCGCATCATCTTGGTCCCTGATGGGGTATCTGGGACCATATCTACCTATCCTCTACACCGGAGATACCACATCATAGATAATAGATGGCCTAGAGCAGTACGAGGAATATCTTTTCATGAGCCGAAGTAACCGCCGACAGCAACCAACCAAGCCGGCGTCCCCCCTCCTCTCATGGCCAACCCCATCTGGATGGCCTCTCTAGTCAGCAGACTCGCTTTCCCCTCCTCCATTGCCCGCCTAACCAACGCAGCCCTGGCCTTCTCAATCACTCTCACTGTATAAACCGGGACCGCCAGCGCGCTATCTACCTGGTTCAGGCCCGGCTCGCCCATGATAGCCAACGCCGCAAGCCCAAAGCAGCCATGGTATACGTCAGGCGGACCGCCGGGGTGCTTGCTGAAGCCACCGACAACATGGTGAGCCATCTTGTCGAGGAGGAACCGCCGCGCCGACTTCCAGTCGATGAGGTCCGTCCTGCCCAAGTTGGCGAGCGCGGCAGCGACCCACCATGAGTAGCACGTATCGGCCACCTTGTTGCAGCGGCCATTGCAGGCCACGTGCCGGAGGTTCTCGGAGATGGAAAGGTCCGCTAGCCGTTTGGGAAGAAGGAAGTTGACCGCTTCATCAGCGCCGTCGTCGCCTTGGTTGTCCGTCACGATGGGATATGAGTTAGGGTCCAGGTAGGCAAATTGGCGGGATGTGAGCCAGTGTATGAGACCCGGCATATTGCGGATACCGGAGTGAAGCATTTCGCTTGGGTGCCAGGCAGTACTGTTTTCCAAAGGCCGATCGAGGAGGGAGAGGGCTCCAATTGCACAGTAGGCGTAGCCAGCTGGTCAAGGTTAGTGGAGAGGTCTAGCCCAAGGGTAGGGCAGCTGGTGCTACAAACCGTGAGGTTCTTCCTGCGAGCTCCCAGCGAACCCCCCATCGTAAGTCTGTGTACGAGTAAAAATCAGCGTCATCCATGGGAATGAGCATATGCAATAGATACCTGACTCCTGAGTATATAGTTCGCCAGTCCTTGGGTATCAAAATCTTCAACCCAGCCCGGCTCACCCTGTTTCACATCTCCTCGCAACATCCAGCGTATCGCCGCGGCAATGTAGCAGTATCGCATGTCGTATCCGCCGCCGATGAACCAGCCATGCCCAGGTAGCTGCGTCAGCACCTCGCCAAAACTCCCGTCGTCACGCTGCAGCCTTCTCAGCCATCGCAGCGTCTGCACTCTGTCCACCCCGTTAAATGCCCCTGCCTCATGCCCTTCTTCATCCAGAAGCGCAAGGAGTTGCAGAGCGAATAGCGTTGCCGGCAAGTTTCCTACGCCGGGGCCCTCCGTGGTCTGCGTGCCGGTCTCGGAGGCCCAGAACTCGTGGCCTTGAAGTGGAAAAACGAGGGATGAGGTTGCAGCGAAGCCGCCGCCAGGTTGTTGGTGCGAGAGTATCCATTCTCTGAGCTTCCTGCGATCTTCAGGGGGGATCAGTGGCTTCGTTTGTGAAGCTAGCTTTCCGTCCGGCGTCCGAGGGGTGAGGATGCAGATGGAGTTGATGATAAAGTAGGCGAGGGTCATGCGAATTCCCTCGTTAGAGAGGTAGTGGTGAGGGAGAGGTCGATCCAGACACATTTTCCAGTATTTGAGATGACGCCCAGTATCGAGCATCGGCTCGGGGGCTTCGTCACCCATAATGGCAACGGATGCTTGATGAGGGTGTGGATAGCGTGTGATCTGTGAACGGAAGAAAATTCCCTTCCTGCGGCATGGACAGCTTCCAGGCCCTCAGATCCATCCGTCAAAAATCCAGCAATGTTGCCTCGATCCGCGTTTGAAACTTATAAGAGGTAACGATGAAAGAAGACTTACACTGTGATATGAGGCCTGCAGTGGGGTTACGAGAGAGCAGGCGGCACCCCACCATCACAGCTCGAGTGGTTGCTGCCCAAAACGGAAGGGAGAGCTTGGGTAACATCATGGACAGGGGTCAAGCTCCAGCCACATTTCCTTGACATTGTCCATGAACGTGGCTGGTGCGGTTGCCCAGCGGAGGGAAGGTAACCTATCAGACGTTAGCATAACCAAATTTAAGTGTTGCCAAGACACGGCCGATAAAGCATCAGGCATGTGAACAATTCCGGCGTCTTGGACGAATTCCAGATTGACACACGACATGAATGATGCAGCGACGACAACACACGTCTTCCCTTACGCAAGGTCACACCAACAGTCGACGCAGGGAACGTTACTCGGGCTCGGTGCACCAATCTGGGATGCCTGAAAGTGTGCGCTCCGAATACAATACATCTCCCCGCCTCTCTGCACGAACGATCAGAGGTTAAGATACGAACGATCACAACTACTTTGACCGGACTACCAGGGGGCTGTCCCTAGCGCTTCGGCAAGCCATCCGATAGCAGGATCCACGTTCTGCGGACTAGTTCGTGTCGTTTGCGTGCAGCAACATCCGATGCGCATCCGATGATCGCCTCTAGCTTCCTGCACTTGTCAACACGACCGTCTTCATAACTTGAGGAGGGGCAACCATGGCTCTCATCTCAGCCAAGACGATCATTACCTCGCTGTCTCTCTTTCACATCACGCTGGGCTTCTTCTTCCTCACCAACCCGGTCACTGTGGCCGATCAACCGGTGGTATATCTCCTGGGTGAATCCATGGGCCTGGTAAGTTGGATCCCTTCTGTCCCCTTTATTCTCGGTAGGGTATGTCGCTGACGCCGTCACCCTCTCAGCCTCACTCCCGCTCATTTGAAACGCAATCACCGGCTCTTGCCTTTCTGGCCGTTATCCTCGGCATCATGGGAATCAGCGACCTCGTAACCCTGTCTTTGCCCGACGAGATCAGCCTGGTCCACCACTGGGGCACACAAGGTACGCGCACTCCGGTACCCCCTTCCAACTTTCTGTTTCCCATATCGTATTCATACTAACCTCATACCCGACTATAGCCCCCCTCCGGTTGACCCTCTCCTTCCTCCTAACGTTCTACTCCTTCTTTTTCAGCGCCTCCTCGCCATTCTTCTACACCGAACTCCCCTTATCCTCGTCAGGTACCAGTCCGGCCAGCGGCTCATCCGCGTCCTCACGGTTTACCCACCCTTCGGTACACCACGCGCTGCACAACCCGAGCTACACTCCCTCCGGCCTCGGCGGGGATGCGCTCAAGAACAGGCTCTTTTTCACCTTCATGTTTGTCGAGACCATCAGCTGGTTCTGGGCCTGGGTCACGCTGCAGGAGGAGAGGCGGGAGCTGCTAGCGAAAAAAGCAAGGAGGCGGTCGTCAAGCGGGATTCACAACCACCACTGACCGCTGATATTGAGCGAACCGGTTACTATAACCTTGGTAGGGTGGGGAGGGAAGGAGAAATGGGCTTTCCCACGCTTGCTGGGTGGTAACAGTAGAATTATGACGGAATTTCATAGCTGTCTTCTTTTTACTCTTCTCTTTTTTCCAAACGGAGGGATGGAAGGGCTGCATGTGGGGTTATTGATAGAGCGTTGGGACGTCGGACAATTTGTATGAATGCACGCATGATACCTCTCGAGTTTACTTAGCATTGCGGGGCCGTTTGCCAGAACGAACATGGACGATTTGGGAGGAGCGCTGGCAGGTTTCCAGCTCTTTCTTTCCTATTTCTCAGGGAACAAATCTAACGTCTACTACTATCACCATATTCTGACCCTGACAGACTAGCCCTCAACCTCATTCCATCCTCACCATTCCCCATCCTTTCATCCCTTCCCTCCAACTCTCAATGACCTTTCCAGCCCACTCTTCTGCGCCAGCACGCCCCCCGACCATCTCTCCTACTGCCTTCCTAACCTCATCTTCCTCTTCCTGATCTTCGCCACCAAATACCAGATCCAACAGCCGATCCAACCAGCCGCCCTCAGCCAGCGCCTCTTTCAGTCTCTGCACGGTGCTCTTCACCTCCCCTAACGCCTTGCCGGAAATCTCATACAACGCCCTCATTTCGGCAAGCACGTCCCTGTGCAGGCCAGACCGCCCGCTCCGGTCGCGCGCCAGCTCCTTATCGTGGATCGCCAGGACAAACCCCGCACTGTGCCTGATTGCCAGCGCCGCGTCCCGCACCCATGAGAGCGTCTGGATATCTGCGAAAGCATAGCACGCCTGCGGCATGCGTGGGTTCTCGACTGGGTTGGAAAGGGGTAGGGTACCACGTAGCGTGGCAAAGGCGGTTTTGATGGACGAGGTAACAAGAGAGAGAGACTCTCTTGGTGGCGGGTCGTTGCGCGAAGTGGAGATGGCAGTGAGAAGGGCCGCCGAGAGCAGAGAAACGATAGTATAATAGCTTGTCTCCCCGCTGTTCAGGCGTGAAGGCGTTTCGGGTTTGTGGAGCAAGTCGGCCAAAGATTCACTTAGCCTGGAGAGAACCTCTATAGTATACTCGCGGTCCCGGAGGGCAGCTTCATTCGCTTTCGAGGGCTTGTACTCTTTGGGCGGTTTATAGGCAAGCAGGTCTAGGTACTGCTCCGAGAGGAAAGCTAAGTGGGAGCGTTCGTTCTGTAACAGGGATCAGTGAACAAAATTCGCGTAGACGCCCATCAACAAAGACAAGTTCCTTACTGAAAGCCCGGGCCCGAGGCGGAGAAACTCATGAAGAGGCGGGCCATTTATACTCTCGAAATTGGGGAACGACCCATAGTCGGTCTTGTTGACCAAAATCGTGCTTTCAGTGATGTTTGCTAGCATTTTGTCAGAATGTACACAATACAAAATAGAGATAGACAAAGACCTCACCAGTGAGCGGATGTGCCTCGATCTCACACTCAATTCTCCCACCAAAGCACCGTATCGCACGCCTCTCCTCTACAAGCGCCATCATCATAGTGCAACTCCTGCGCAGGTCGCTGTCGTATTCCACCATGTCCAGAATGCTCGTGTAGCTTCCAGAAGAGAAAGCATCCCAGATGCGCAAGGGGCAAGCATCGCGTAAGGTGTTGTTGTAGTAGGCCCGTAACGGCTCCATGAATGAGCGTGTGCCTTGAAACAATCCTGGCGAAATGTTGGATATCCTGTCAAAAAAGATGGGGCTGAGCGCATCTTGAATTGTCCGTTTGACATCCAGGGGGATCCAGAGTTGGTAGGCGTACGAGGCACAGCCGAGTAATAAGTACAACTGTACTAGTAGTAGCCGGAGCTCGTTATCGCGAGGTGACACTTTCAGCTGGACATCAAGGACTAGTACCCCTTGAAGAAACAAGCCAGGGTCGATGTCCTTCCATATTGACGGGCCCGTATCTGAAGTCTGCGGCTTCAGGCCGGCCAGTTTGAGGAGAGATATGCCAATGACGAGCGCCAGATCGAGACGAGGATCCTTGTCCAAACGTGGGATCGCATCTGAAAGCTTGCTGTCACAGGCTATCTGCTGGTACAGCTCTGACGCGCTGGAGATAACCATTTTCAGGCAACATCTGCAGGGGAGGGAAGCCGGTTTGTTGCACAACCGACACTGAAATGGCCCGTCTTGGACTTCACCATTAGCAACAGAGGGCTGAGGTGAGAGGGTCTGCGGGCATGTTGTGAGGAGATATCGCAGCTTGCACTCCAAGACCTTGAGTACAATTTTCCGGGATTTGTCGGAGTTCTAGAGAAGTCTGGTTAGTTTCTTTCGTGGTATTTGAGGGAGAGATGGGCATGCCTCGTCGACTATCCGTGGCATGACGGCCTGCATGAAGGTCTTGATTTCCTCGAAACTAAGTTCTGTAATGTAGTATTTGATGTCATCAAAGGCAGCTAATCTCTCGAAATACTGGTCCAGATAGAGACCAAGCTGGACCACCCTTGGTGACAGGCCTGTTGAGTTGTGGTCTGGGTCTAGTGTCGTCACCGGTAACCGGAATGTCGTCTCAAGGAGGGCTAGGCTGAGGTTCTTTCTGTGCATCTCGCTGGCTTTGTCTTTTATCTCAATGTATTGTTTCAGAAGAGTCTGCACCTCAATGAGGGCGCTATAAGAGAATTGGTTAGCAATCCCGATGTTTGGGAAGGGAGCAGAGATAGGGTTACTTGTCCGGATCCGCTGCTTTGCTTGCGGCCACTGCGAACTTCTTCCAAACCTGCAGGTCGCAGACGAAGAAGGGAGTCGTCTCTCCCTCAATACCCCGTGTCAGAGCCTCACGACAAATGCTGTAAATGCAGTCCCATTCACCCCAGGACTCGAGCGCTTTGAGGCCTTCGCAGAAGAGTAGCTTATGGCCTTTCTTTAGCTGACGTATTGCCCCAAGGTTAGGGCTTTGCAGTCGAGAGATGAACTCTTCCTTGGTCCCATGACTCAGTAGCACCCGGTAATAGAGGCAAATCTCTTCTTCTGTTCGGAGCCCCCGGTCAGTGGGCTCCGAGTCGGGCCACTATGGGGCTTGTCAGCAATGTCTCATGGACTGCCCAGTACCAGCCGTTCCATACATTCTCAGTCAGATCCGCAGCTCGCTCAAGCTGCCTCACAGCCAGAAGGCTGTACACCTTGCGGCTGGCATCGGTGCATTGGGGGCTGATCTGTACGTGTTAGGCTGCAAGATGTAGATGGATCGGACGCTCGGGCATACTGAAAGAAGGAACGTGAGAGTAATGTTCCAAAACAAATATCGCCGGTCGGTAGAGTTGGCGTGTGTCTTATCCAGCGTCGTTGCAATCTGGTCAGGGGTCAACAGATGGGATCACTGATGGCACGCCAAGGTACATGGTATATCGCGAACCTGTTGCGCGCTCACGAGATCCCACTTCTCGAGGCAAGCTTGCATGCATTGCAGGGCCAAGGGACTGGTAGCGTTTGCCTTGGCCCACCGGACCCTCAGGGGTCCCAGAGTCTCGGCATACTCAATCTCGTAACCCAGAAAGTCTCGACAAGCCCACTCGTAAAGCTCGATGATGTCGAGATCTGGGACTTTCTTGTTCTGCATGAGCTCATCAATTGCCACGAGGACGCCGCATTTTTCAGCGGTGCCGTCAAGCTGGGATTCGGCGCACATCTTGATCGCCTGGCGTTGAAGATGAGTTTCTGCGTCTGGGTCGAACCAGGGGCTGACGGCGGTTGCACACACCTCGTAATACGGGTCCTTGAAGGTTGCTGCCCGCTTAGCAGCGAGACGGACGACAGCGTTCCAGTTTCCCTCGCTGAAGGCTGATTGCAGCTGCACGTCGACACTGCTCCTGAGCGCCGGACGGCCATATCTGTATGAAGTCATGGCGGCAAGCCTCAGACCTGCTTAGAATGAGGGAAGAGGGCTGTTTTCCGTCGGCTCTGAGGCAAACCCACAGAACCAGCAAAGTCGCTCAATGTAGGGGTAGGAAGCGACAAATCAGTAAGGATGGTCGGCACAATCGGCGTGATACCGTGGTCGGGCAACCCCGGTCCCGTCCGTTCCTTCGGGTCCGCGTTCTTCAAGGGTCAGAATCAGGCTGTCGGGAGGTCTTCACTCTTCGGCTACTATCCGTAAGTAGCAATGTTTCGCCTCGTAACTTGTGCTGTCAGCATACACCGCAGGTCGGGTACAAGAGCTCTTGACAACCAACTTCCGTTAACTCGCAAAAGCTCTCCCCTTCGAGGTGGCTGTCAAAGTTCGGGCAGGTGCCGCATGCAATTCACAGCATCGCGTTTGGTGGGGTTGTTGAGCTTGGAGCCTGGCTCGTGCGCTGAACCACCTCCACTTAACACCGGAGGTATCCACCTCTTTACCAAGACAAAATCCCGTCGCATAGGGAGACGGCACAGGTCCAACGCTCTTTCCCGCATCCCACCATTCTCATCGATGAGCCAAGGAAAGGGAAATATCAAAGGTATTGTACAAGTTCAGCACATTTCACGTCTATTGGACAAGCGGACAATACCCACATCGGGTACTCATCCTTTTCACCGTTCCATGCCGGATCCGCCTCCGGGTGTTGAGACCATAGTAGATTCTTAGTTGTGCGATGTGATCTGGCAAGCTAGGGGCATTACGAGGAGCTATCCCCTCTGCTGCCTTTCTTCCTCTTTTCTATCTATCACAAAGAATGTCAGTGCTAAGCTCCGACGTAAGGAGAAGAAGTATACGGTCCGTACCCAAGCTTTCTTGCAGTCTCTGTAAGCCCTACAGTACCGCATCAGTCATCAGCATATGATTGTCCCAACCCAGAATCGGCAGCCACTCACTGGAAATAATCCCCGCACATGGTCCGATCGCCCCCGTTGCGATGCAGACATCGAATGCTCCGGGAAGCGGCCTCTTGACATGGGTCGAGGAACTCACTCCTACTCTTCCTGTGGCGCCGTCAGCGTTTGAGCTGGTGCAGCTCTAGAGCAGAGGGGGCACTAACGATTCGAACTTGTTTTTCGTCTCTGGGTTCCAGGGATCCGCATCAGTACCTGTCATGGACGTCATGATCCCAATATATCGGCGCCTCTTATATATAGGTGGATGGTGCTCGTGCGTGGGTGTTGGATCTCAGGTGTCACGTCGTTGCTCGGCCCAGCGAACACCGACAGGGACGGGATTGTTCAGGCCGGGCCGGGGAGAGCCGCTTGACTGCCGAAAGAGGCCAAGCTTTCCGCACAGACCACGTGGAATCTGACCCCTGGTCGCACTCACCATGCAATCCCTTTGGCTGTGGAATGAGCCTATCTCTTGGCAAAACACGAAACTGGCCAATAGATAGGCATTCCGGCCGCCAAGCCGAAAATCTATACAAATCGCTACATCGCCAGCAAGAGCGACAACGGATTTTAAATTGATTTCTTCAGCATAGACACGCTAACACGCGTGACCAGGTAAGTCTCCCCAAGTTTTTTTTTGGGCGCTAAGAGATAGGCTCATTCCACAGCCAAAGCGATGCAGCAGTGGATCCAGTTCATATGTAATTACCGGTATCGAGAAAGTTGATTGAGTTCATTCGAACTTGCTTCCTCGAATCTCAAAGCGGATATATCACAAAGTCATCTGAAAGGGTGAGCGCAATTCTTGTAAGCAACCTGAGTATGCCCTGGGATAGCGTGGACCAGACTCAGAATCGGGGTTGCTCCTCCGTTTCGCAAACCAGGATCCAGAGACATCGATGCTTCACAGACTGGAGACTCCTCAACTCGCAGGCAACGCAGCACAAAAGTGTTTTTGGCCGAGAATCCAGCAGATCGCAAGTTATCCATTAATATAGTGCATGGATTGTGTATTCGTATAACCGTGACTCATCGTAAGTAATTCCCCAATTTGTTCCTCACGTCAAAGCTTCGACTTCACAATGCCGAAAGGGGCAATCGCAGCACCGTGGGCTCTTGCTTTTTCTGTATCTCGACCCTCGCTCGCTGTGGCTCATGAGACCAGCCTTCTGATTAACTCGAACCCCTCCCAGGTTCCAGAAGCTTTAAGTCCGGTTCCTTTTTATTGTGATAGATGGTTCCTACACGTTCGGATTCTGGTGCCGACAGGGTGACCATGAACACTATTCCGTACAAAGTACTGTGTACAGGAACTTCCAACACATTGAACCCCGGGTACACATAAGGGACCTAATCTATTTGTGCACACTGCACAAAGAGACTCTTCCAGCTTGAATGGGTCCAAATTTTGTTGTCGTGGAATCGATGGTTGGCAAGCCACCATGTTTACAGAAGATTTCTTGGTCCCGAACTCGTAGCTCTCCCTCTTCCCCCTGGATATTTAGGGGAAACTCCTACATGTATTCACACAATACTCTCCAGTTCTGGCTCCGCGTTGCATCTGCTACTGCGCCAAGTTACAGCAGCAATACCACTCCGCCTGTCGATGTATCAGACTCCTACCAGAATCCTCGGTGTCGAATTTCTAACTTCCCACCCATGAAGCTATAAGTCTCGAACATCCGCCTTCTATCGCTTCAACTGAACATTCAGCGCAGACCTCACCACTACCGGGAATGCTTAAAGACTAGGGTAAATGTTCCTGCAAGGAGAGGACAGCCACGGTGAGCTGTCCAGCACTGTCGTTCAGGCTTGAGTCACGCTTAAGAGGTCCGCAGGAATACCACTTCTCTCCAGCTCTTTGTATTTCATGGACTTGCCTCGCTAAAAGTGGTCCGAACAGGAACCGAAGCTGCCAGCCTGAGACGGAATACGGAGCTGCCTGATCTCCATTCAGATACCGACTAGAAAACGAATGACGAGCTTAGGCGTGGGATCCCCCGAAGCGTGAGCCTTCCCTTTCCAGAGAATTCACTTGAACAACGGCTTGGAACAATCCTCGTGCGAGTGGCCAAGGGTAACAACAAAAAATATTCAACATCCACAACGAGAAGGCCCCTCCTCGCCATTCCAGCCCTTCTGGACGCTGGATGGATTTGATTTCCGCGACCCGCCGCACGTCAGCCCTGGGATTATCGGCGCAATACAGTCCGCTATCCAACAGTGGGAGTTCACCTCTGCTGTCATGCCTTTGAGGCGTGATCCAAACCGCCAGGCTCAATGCTCGGAGAAAGCGTGCAACAACGTGGCGGTGCAGTTCACAGCGATGCTGTACTGTAAAGATGCCTTTTTACAGCCAGCGGTTTTCTGGGGGCGGGTAAGCGAATGCAGCCACCGTCAGAGTGCACGGGTTGCCAAAACGATTGCGAACGTCTTTGTAAAGGCACGAAGGACGTATGTCCAACGGGGAGGGTCGACTGACCCTCCGAATGGGGCTGCTCGCCTCGTGGATGAATGGATAGTTTTCACATCCCAACGAAGACCCGGCCCGCCCGGTGCGGCGCCTGAAGCCCCGTGGGAAATGCGCTACGATATATGGCTCGGAAGAAAGGCACGAGGCGAGTTAATGGACCTCGGTCAGCTTGGGGTCCAGGAAACGAGAAAAGTCGGAAACAGAGCAAACCCCGACATGGAAGTAGGTGCTCAGTCTACAGCAGCGCTACCGGGGTCAAGCACCCGGCCAATCGAGATCAAACAAGAGCCAGCCACCCCAGGTCGGGATGTTTCTGTGTTTGACTTGGGCCCCAACAGCTCGGACGCTGCAGCTCAGTCACCAGCACTGCTACCACGGTCGAGAGCCCGCCCCATCGAAATCCAACAAGAGCCCAGCACCCCAGGGCGGGATATACCCGATGATGTCTCTTTGCTCGATCTTGGCTCTTGCAGACCTGAATGTTTCAAGGAACGTCCGAAGAGGACAAGGATGGATAGTCCCAGCAAACGGTCTGCCAAACGTCGCGCAGACAGAGATAGCAGGGTTGGCGCTGCTTCCCGCTCTGTCGAGAATCAGCGGCCGACGCCGCCCCTCTCGTCTCCTTGGGTCTCAGGGCAACGATCCAACGGCACAATTCTATTTAGTGATCCAGAGACGAGGCTTGATGGCAGTCCCGCTTCTACCGAGGCTCGTGTGGCAAAGTGTGAAAGAAGGATCCTGGACCACAACAACTTGATCCTCAATCACGACTTGAAAATCGCCTCGCACGAGGCTCACTTGGCTAAGCATGACACGGAGATTGATAGCATTCTCTCGCGACTGAGATCGGTCGAGGGAAGGCTTCGATTTGACCGTGAGTCTCCAGCAAGGGCAGATGACGACATACGAAAGCGCGTCGACGAGCTTACCGGCAGATTTAACAGCCGCGATAGCTACATTCGGAGTGAGGTGCGAAGACATTGGAAAGCCGTCGATGAGCAGGTGCGCGTCAACGAGAGGATCGACAAGCTGAGCAAGGAAATCACGGCCCAAGAAACGCGTCTTGAGGACTGCCAGAAGGCAGTAGATAAGAAGTTACGAACAAGTCATAAGATCAAGAAGCTAAGCGCTCGCATCGCTCAGCTAGAGAGCAAGTTGAGCGATGACAAGATTGTGGTCCTATCGGCCACGCCCGCGGATGCCGGTGGACAAGCTCCTTTGGATATCCCTTGGTTGGCGGCTCAACTGAGCGCGGTCTGTAACAGACTTAAGAGATTGGAGCAAACGATCAGCGAGGAGAACGAGTCCTCTGACGACAGTGGGCAATAGTTCACTGGATTTTGAGTTTCTTGGTTAACGGAGACCGGCCATCCTATTTGAGGATGCCCCATTTCGGACCATGCTGACGGACTCTGTAGGGTCAGACGATAGTCTAAGAAGGAAAAGACAAGAGAGAGCTCTCCAATTTCTTATGTACATGTCGGGATATGCATATAGGAACTCAGATCGTGCTGCCTCTGGCTAGAGGCAGCGGTACACCGCCCTATTTTCCTTTCATTTTCCTGTTGGCTTGGGTTTGTTCCCGTTTTCGAATTCAGACTGGACAGCGGGGATGTACATTCGCAGTTGGAATGTACTCAACTTTAATATAGGTTTCGAATTAGTCTGATTTGGTTTTCAATGGACAGCTCCTTCTCCTTAGACCTTGCCTCGTTGACTACGCAATCTTAAAAAGGACCAGTTAGTTCTCAGTCAATTTCAGAGAAGTATGAGGTGATCGCAGCTGCCAGTTGTAAGTTGTCCGGTAATACCTAGTAGTGGCGAAGAAAGAGCCATGGATTCAGCAAGAACGTCGGAGGGATGAGCCCATACAGCGCTCTCTATCAATACGAGTAACATTTCAGGAGTCCAGGCTACGAAGAGCTGGCCGACTCAGGGGGAAAGTCCAGCTAACGAGGGCCTGTCAACGTTACCTATATAGGAGGCAGCAGGCAGCAAGTATCCAAGTCCTCGTGGACTCCTTAGTGTCACACATACCGTGACATGTAGCATGTTGGTTCTGTTTGGTTTGCCACATTGTGCCAAACTTTGAACGCCCTGGTCACCGGTTGAAAATTCGAGGGGCTATGTGGGATGACTTGAAAACCAATGCCTTGATTGTTGCCCATCTGTCGTATCGTCGACTTTATAAATCCAAGCATCAAGATTCTGAGCTATGTTGTGAACCAGGATGTGGCCATTTCATTTGGCCCATGAGTAAAAATCCCTTATACACCAGGTAGGCCGGTTTGTATAAGGTAGGGATGATTTGAATGGAGTGGTACCACATAGGCAGAACGCCCCCATGAATTTAAAACAAGTGAGCACACAACAGAATGGACACTTGAGAACCAGTCACAGGATATTGAAGATGGAATCATACAAATTACAAAGGAAACGGATAACAAGATTGTGTACAATGTAACTTACAGTACATATGTAACAAGGGCACACATATCCATTTGTGCACAACGCCGACACAGGAGATTCTTCTCTTCGGCGTTGACGGGGCCAAATCTCGTTGCCGTGAAACCGATGATTGGCAAGCCAGTAAAGCCACGATAGCTCGATTTTCAACGGAATCTCTCACTCTCGACCTTCCCATTTCTCTAACAGTCCGACTTGCGTAGCCCAACGCCCCAACTTGAATCTCCGACTCACACAACTTGAGATACTAGATCAGTTTCGGTCTGGGCTGCTACTGGGCCAGTTGCGAAATCAAATAATCCTCGTCGAGGCTCCTTTGACCAGTTTCGACTTCAACTGGCAGTTTAGGTCTCGTCGCTAGTTCGGGTGTTGGAGAGACAAGCGCTGCTCCAGAACGAGGAGACGAGTAAAAGCTGAGCTGCCAGCATTTGTTGCTCAGGACCGAGTTCATTGATATACCAGCCCTTCTGATATCAAGAAATGTCGCGCTAACAATGATTCGTGCGGTAGGGCAGAATCAGGATCTGCTCTCACTTCGGCCAGAAAAGCCTGAAGCGAGTGTTAACGAAAACAACATGGCGCATTCGCGACGAGAGGGCCCTTGCTGGCCACACCCCCCCCCCCCCCCCTCCCTTTTGGGAGGTGAGCGGGTTTGACTTCCGTGAATTTTCAACCATCGAGAAGCGCAATGCAATACGCAGCGCTCTTCATCAGCGCGGGTTCACCTCTGGCGCCATTTCGGATAACGTGGTGCACCATGATAGCTTCGAATGGCAGGCTCAGTGCTCTGTGAGAGCGAGGAACAACTTGGCTGTCCAATTCTCGGCAATGCAGTACTGTAGAGACGTCTTCTTACAACCAGCGGTTTTCTGGAGCCGAGTCAGCGATTGCAGCCATAGACAAGGCGCCCATGTCGCTGAATCAATTGCAAACATATTCATGGCAGGACGGAAGGCTTATATTCGTCTCAGCGGAATACCCGAGCCCCCAAACGAGGCTGCTCGGCTGGTAGATAAGTGGATAGCGTTCGTCTCCCAAGGAGGGCGTGACACGTCTGCCGAAGCTCCGTGGAACATTCGCCACCGGGAGTGGTTGGAGAGAAAGGCAAGAGACGATCTAATGGATATCGGTTACGAGTACGACTCAAAGGATGGAATAAGAAACGGGGCAATCTCCAATGTGGAAGCGGATGCTAGGTCGGCAACAGCCCCTAGAAATCGGACCAGATCTCCCTCTGTTGAGATCAAAGAAGAACGAAGAACCCCGGAAGAAAGCATCCGTGATGATGTTTCTTTGCTCGACCTCGGGTCTAACAAACCAGAGGGGTACAGAGAACGTAAACGAAGGAGGGCACGCAGCTTCAGCGAAAGATCGACGAAACGGCTCGCAGATCAGGCTACCAGAGACACCACTGTCTCCCGCTCAGTCGATGATCAGCTACAAACGCCGCGTCTTCAGGCTCCCTTCGTCCTGGGACAGCAGTCCCCTGAGGGCGCGTTCCCTAACACTGCACAGGCACCAAGCAGCCCAATCGAGCAAATTATAAGGAGCTCGTCAACTGGTCCTAAGCCGAAGAAGGACAAGCATGGCCTCAGCAAAGTTCGAGTGGCCGCCTGTGGAGAAAAGATACTGGAACACGACGCCAAGATTGAGAGCATCGAGACCCGACTGAAATCGGCCAAGGACAGATCTTCGTTCTACCGAGCGAGAGTTGACGAAATGCAACAGAATCGACGAGCTTTACCGGAAATTCAACAGCCGGGATACTACATCAGAGACGAACTCCGAAGACATTGCAGCGCGGTTTTCACGCAGGAGCAGCAACGCGTGAGCGGTCGTATCGATGACCTTCAAAAGGATGTGATAGTTCAAAACACCCGGCTGGAGGACTGCCAGAAGGCAATCAAAGATGACATTCCTAAAAAGCTCCGAAAAGGAAGGGCAAAAATCAAGAAGAGTCTTACCGCACACATCGCCCAGCTCGAGGAAAGAATTAAGGCTTTGGAGAAGGCGGCCGGACACCAGAAAGAGGACTCGGCAAGCGACATCGAGCGCTGATTCAGAAATCAGAACCCAACAGTCACCTCGGGACTCACCTTGGGACTTTGGAACTCTGCACACTGGACACCGGCCAATCCAAGTTGGAGACAACTGAGTTCTGCCCCTTCTGGACTATCTTGAAGGATGCCTTACGGCCCTTACCTAGCAGAAGAGTGCCTTGGAAGGTAGGAAGGAGTTCCCGAATTCTTAGCGTACATGCCGAGCCAGGAAGCTTCTTCCATGTTGCTTCTGGCTACAGGATACCTTAGGCTGACCGCTGAAGTACACCACGGCTGGCGCTATTAGGCGCATTGTCTCTCGTTCATTTTCATTTTCTGTTTTATCTTTGTACGACTAGTAGTTTGCTTGACCTGGGATCAGTTCCCGTTCGGACTTTGACAGGGGGATGGCTATTACAGATACTGAGGTTGGGAGCTCGGAAGTTGGGACGAAGTCTGAGGACTTGGGAGTGTATGTACATTAGCACCGGGTCTCGTAACGCCATATTGGCACTAATTCTAGAGAGCCCGGTCCACACGATGGCCTCCGCACCCGCTTCCTCCTGACGTATAAGTGCTCTAATCCGACTTGGAGGCTGACGCCGAGTCGATATCCAGCCGAGCCCTAAGACTCGATAGTAGGTGTGTTCAACTTTGGTCCTGAGTCTACACTGGCGGTTAGTTTGTTTTTGATTTTCAAGAAAGTACCACTTATCTTCTGGTTCAATGACGTGAGTCTTCGTGTTACAAAGGTCCTCAGACATCTTCTGTGATGTATGATAATTCCCTGCAAGTTCGGTATGTCCCTCGCAAAGAAAGTGCGCAATCAATCAGCAAATTCGGGAAGCTGGGCTGATACCGCGCGCTCTCCTTCAATACCAGGTCGTTTTCGGGAACGCCAGTTTATATACCTCAGGGCTCAGGCCGTCAAACTCAAGGGAAACCTTGGTTAAAGAGTGTTTAACATCACATACATGTAACAGTCAGCAGTCTCCTCATGGACCACTTGCGTACAAGTAGCACCCGGACTCTGTATGGTTTGGCATAAATCACCGAGCTGGAACCCTCGAGCCACCCGCAATACGGAAGATGCCATGTGGGATAAAACAAGCGAGCACATAAAGGAATGAACCCTTGACAACCAGTTGCAGGATATTGAAGATGGAATTGTGTTTGATTTTATCCCTGTATGCATGCCTGATAAGATCACTTGGCCGCGTCTCTCAAAACCCTAGAACGCCGTACCTTCGCAGATGTTGATCCCAAGACGATACCAGAGAAGCAGGATGCGTTATGACAACGTTGCCACCACAGAGTACTCCCAACGCCATTCACAAACAAGGATGTAAAAGCCAACCAACTTGACTGAGCAAAACCGCCAAATAATCCCTCCGCTCGACTGTTTCTTATGCTGAAAACCCGAGGAAACGCGAGACAGCTGATTCAAATACTCTCTGACCAGCCTGTACCCATCCACACCAGCCCGCCCAGAAACGAAGCCAGCACCACGGCCGTGACCACTCCCGCGCCGGCCTTGTCTCCCGTGGTAATCGGCCTCGGTGGCTGCAGTACGTTCGGATCCCCACCGGCATTAGGATCGCCCCTGCTGGTGCCGCCGGTAGTGTTGGTCAGCGGGCCCTGTAGTACGTGTTGCTGCTCGAGGAGCAGGGTGGACAGGGCCGCAAGGGCGCTCATTTCCTGCCCCGCAGGCCCATTGGCCTTGTCACCGTCGTACTCGCCCGTGTTCCAGCGGAACCCGCAGGTGCCGTCGGCCAGGCAGGACGAGACGCAGCCTTCGGTAGACGAGCGGAGTACCCGTTCGACGATAGGCCGCGTGTCGGGCACGAGGACGCCCACGGTCGCCAGGGAACGGTGCATATATCCCTTGAACGAGTGCTGGTCGACATTGCACTGCACTCGGTCTTCGAGCTCGCATGCCCGCTCGATCATGATCCCGTTGGGGAAGAAGTGCTCGATCGTTCTGTTCAGAAGCCCGTCAATCCGTTGGCGCCATTTTTGGTCGCCGTTAGTCTGCAAGAGTATAAGTTCGGGGTCCATCATTCTGGGGGTGAAGAGGGGAGGGATGGAAACGCACGTAGTTGTACATGACGGCCACGCCATGCAGCAGCACGGCTGCATTAGCGGAGAACTGCACCGGATTGATGTCGGTGCAGTTGGCCTCGATATGGCCGCCGTCAAGGACGTTGTAATCCTCGGTAATATAACCGACACCTTCAGTCCAGTCCCATGCGCGGTCAGCCCACTGCGCGTACGTGTCGTTCTGGGTGTACCGGGCCAAGCGGGCGGCAATGTTGAAATAGACGACGTTTGCGATGGTGTTCTTGTAGTTGTATCCACCGTTGGTGTGGGGGATCTGCCAGTTCAGACCACCGTTGCACTCCTGCGTATTCCAGCGTCCGGTCTGCGTGTTGAAGACAGCTTGGGCCAAGGCTAACCACTGCGGTTGATCCTCGGGCGGATTGGGGAAGTTGACCTCGGCGGCGAGCATGGCGGACATGCCCCAGAACCCCTGATCGTCATTGCCAAGCGACAGCGTCCAGTTTGCCGGCATGTAGCTGTTCAAGGGCGGCTCGGCCTGAAATACCATGGCATATATAGCCTGGTCATTGTATGTCGAGTCCCCCGTGTAGTACCAGTAGTCAATCAATGTTCCCCACATGGCGCCGGCCTGCCACCAGTAGTATGGACCTCCCGGAGGCGGACCGGGAAGGATACCCGGGGTCTGGCCCGGTTCGTCTCCGTGGTAGTATGACATGAGGTTGGCGGCGACGAGTTTCGCGGCCGACTTGATCGAGTCTGTTCGGTTCCGGCCCCATGTTAGCGAGCCCAGGACTGAAAGAATTGGGCGACCAGATTGCTCACCAGCTGAGTCAAGATCGACCTGCAACTTGGCCGCCTGGGCATTTGCTCCCGTCGCTGCAAGAAGCTGCAGCACTGCAGCGCTTGATGCTATCGCCCATTTCATGTCGGCACACCTAGTTGTAACTCATCGGTTGCAGAGCAGATTGAGAAACTTGATTGTCGCGGAGCGCGAAGGTTCAGTCGTCGGGGAATGTTGCAGGTTTCTTGAGAGGGAAGAAGTGCGTCGAGGTACAGGACTTGGGCTGACGGTGCTGAATCTTCGCAAGGCTTGTCGGATCCTTCCCCAGTGTCAGCTGAGCAAAAAGGGTCCCTTCCCTTACACTCCCGCTCCTTTGGAGTGCAGGTGTGTCCCGGAATTAAGAACCTGTTTGGCTGGCAGGGCTGGCTAGGGGTTCTCCAGACGGACAAGGGATTTTGGGGGAGTGCCTGTCGTAACAGTACGTAATTCTTAACTTAGCTCAGGAACCACATTCCGAAATCCAGGGCAGAACAATGAAACCATGGAATGTTGGCTGCATTTTCTGTACCCTATGAATCGTATGTACGAACTGAGAAGTACACGCATCTGTACGAAGTACAGTTACGACTTTATACGAGTAGTACCCGTACTTCAGGCAAGAGGACGTGGCTGTGTCTCGAATTTTGTTGGTGGCACAATGTTGGCCCATTCCACTTGCAAAGCTGAGTGCTGACGGCCATTCCTGAATAGGCCTAGCGCTTCGTATCTTCCAAACCCGGTTGCACTGCGGGGCCGCGGTGTTCGGGCTGTCTTGGCATCCAACGAAAGACAACCCCGAGACAACCTCCTTCCATAGCCCAACTTCATCGTCAAGCTTGCTCGGGCCGCAAGCCAGAGCCTCACAAAGAAAAAAGTAGAAGTTGTGGGCTGAGGAGAAGCTGAACAAAGTTCGTTTGGGAGTGATGCTGCTGGCATTGGTCTTTCGCCAGTACGGCCTGCTTTTTCAAGGGTTTCAGACCAACCCTTAACACGCTGAATCTACCCATGATCCTGCGAAGTTGACTGTCACTTGGGGATTTATATGCAGAGGAGCATGCCCTACATACATAGAAGCGAAACTAAAACGTATAGTCTCATGCAAGGCGGCCCTGCATGCACAGGATGAAGTAGCAGTGCTTTTGTTGTCTTCGAAGTAACCCAAGGCTCTCTGTCCGATCGAACTAAGACACACATATCACGATGGAAATGGGTAGATCTGGGTTGAGTCTACACCATTAACATACTACATGGAGGGTTATAACAAGTACATTGCGTTGTGATCATGAGAGTCGTATAAATGGAGGCCACCCACCATTCAGCTGAGGATGGAAGAAGCAGGAGGCAGCAACTAAACAAAGCCCGCCAGTGCGGTCCTGAGTGTATAGGTTTGGAAACGACAATGTTATGAGGTTTCATTGAATCTGTTTTCCAGTCGATGAACTGGTGTTCAGACTCATTGCCATGATTCATCAAGTCAACTGTCACTCACCTCGTAGCTTTCTAATCTTCGCTAGTATTCATCCGTAACCTATAGGCCTATTGCTTATCTATATCGCAAGTCAGATTTCACTGGTGTGCATTGCGTGATACTTACACCACGGCTACATTGGCCGAGTTAGGTCAACGATGGGCAATGGCCATTACCTTACCTACCTAATGTTTCCATTGAAGGCTGGAACGGAGGAGACAGCCATCACGCCCGGCATTGTGCCTTCGCAACCAAGCAGAATATATCAGCTAGCGGAATGAACACACTCTGCTCACCGTAAAATCAGTTGCTGCTCTACAATCACATTTCGTCGAAGGTCATTTCAGGTCCGGTAGGTACCTTACGGGTACGACTACCAAGTGAACGATATCTGCCTTGGGGATATATTTGGCCTAGCAGTTGCCGCATCTTTTCACTTTCAGGTCTTTAAAGCGAAGAAACTACTTATAGCTCCTTCTCGTTTTGTCCTTGCCAAACACCACATACATTTCTCCCAAATCAACTTCGCTTTTTCAAGTCCTTTTTGTTTCCCTAGCCATCGTTTCCATCCGGGAATCAACCATCCCACCGCAATCCGTCCGATCCATCAGTTGAAACGTCTGGTGCGACGTCACGGTCGAATACAGATCGAAGATTATAAGTGATGACTTTTTCTGCTTCTTTTTATTGGAGATCGGTTGTCCTTCCGAAGGATTGGCAGATTGTGAGCACCGCGATCTGAGATTTGCCAGGTACGCGATACGATGCCCATTAAACTGCCCGCTCAATTCTAATTGCGTAACAAGACGAGTTTTTGCCTGGTTTGTCACTTTGATCCTCATCATGGACGTTCGCGTGCAGCCATCCGAGTCCATCTCCTCGGCAAAGCCCATCAAGCGCTCTATTGCCGTGGAACTTGAAGGCGAGAGCGATCCGACGGCGAAACGAGCAAAGCGCTCGAAGCATGGCAAAAAGAAGCGATCAAAGGATAAGCAAGGCTCGGATGCCCAGATTGTCCAGGATGATTGGATCTGCTTCAAGACCAGCCCAGTTACTGGCGATCCGATGGCACCAATAACTTCCCCAAAGTCCGACCTTCCCAACCCGTTCCAGGTGGCTGGCAAAGCTCAGGCGCCGAAAGCATCCAAGGAATCCGTGGGCGAACCGAGTCACAAAGATGAGGACCAGGTCATGGAGGTCGACCAAGACGAGACCCCGAGCCGGAAAGCAAGCCACAAGAGTCAGAAGGCCGAGGCCAACACCAGAAAATCCAGAGCCAGGAAAGACTTGAAGCGTGCACTGGAAGAGGCGGATGCCAAAGTCGCAAGCGATAACAATCCACTCACTACTCAGATGGGTGAAAAGAAACTTGAATCTGATCCCTTTGTTGGCAATGGCTTCACGTTTGGGACTCAGACTAGTCGGGGGAACATTCCACCTCTTCTGAATGACACTTCAAAAGAGGCGGGAAGCCACGATGACGACCTGAGCGATGAGGAGCGCATCACCCCCTCTTCAGCTGGACTCGAGACCCTCAAGACCCTCAAGTCGATCAACAAACACCTCAAATCCCTCGGCGGCAAGCTCGTCGCTGAGTCCGACCAATCTCTCGCTCAAGAGATCCAATCTATTCACAACAACACGGCGCAGATCCACCAGCGTCTTGAGAGCGACGCCCTCCGAGCCGCCATCCGCCACGAGATCCTCTTTAACGCGCTCAAGAAGGTCTCGACAGACATAAACCTCCTGAGCCATCAATTCCAGCTGCAGAGTCAGGGCCAGGGCCACATGGACGAGACCGCGGTGCCACTCCCAGCAGCCAGCGACAATACCACCGTAGCGGCAACCCCGCGCTCGTCAAAGGGTGCAAGGGAGAATGACTGCAACACCAACAAGGGGAAGAAAACTGGTGCCGGTGGCATAACCAGCAGTAACGGGGCAAGCCAGGCGATGCAGCAGTCTCGTAAGACGCTCGAGAGGTGCCTGAGCGGCTTCACCGAGGACATGAACAAGGCAAAGACTGTGCAGGAGGTCAGCAAGTACGGCATGCTATGCGTGCAGTATGCAGGGGATTTGTTCAAGACTTTGGGCTGAGGCTTGTTGCCGGTCACCGGTGGGCGGCTCGGGCCGGGCTTGTGTCTGTCTGACTCTGAAGTCAGCTCTCTGAAGTATCAACTGCTTATTGTTTCTGAGTTGGCATTGGCGAACGTGCCAGCGAAAACGGTGGCCTGTACTCCGTAGCAAGGAAGCTACTCTGTAGAATGAGTCGCCTCGAAACCACAGTGGAATAAATGAGATGCTGCCCTTTATAAGTCTCCCTTGTATCGAGTCTGACAGGACGTAGCTTATTCTGTGGATGATGTAGGTGGTCAGAAAATACCCACCTCGGGCTCAGACACCTTACTTTAGCACTGACAGATGGTGTGTTGTGGTTCGCTTCAAGGTTGCCTTAACAGGCGCTGACGCGCTGTTATGTGGATTTGCAGGGGACCTCCTCTCCCTAAGCGCTCCCTAAAAGCTCTCCATAATCATCCAACGTAGGCAATCCGTGACGGAACTCCAAAAATGGAAACCAGGGGCATCCGCACGCGGGTTGCCAACGCATGCGACATATGCAAGGTGCGGAAGATCAAATGCAGCGGTGCTACGCCCTGCGGATACTGCGTTAGACGGCGGCAGCCCGAGAATTGCCGTTACACGGCCACTCGTCGCCGACCAAGGCCCCGCCCGGACGACATTGCCAATGTTGCCACCGCCAGCGACCGTGCCTCGTCATCTCCGGCAGCTTCGGCTCCATCCACTCGCACCAACAGCCGTCCGGAGTTGTCGTCGAATCCGGCACAGTCCAATCCAACCTCTATTACCGCCGATTCGGCCACCACCACGGGCATATCGCCGGTGGTGCGCACTGCAGGTCCGTCACGACCTGCCACGCGTGACCGTCCCCAGCTGCCGCGGGATGCCGCCCTTGGAGCCCTCGAGGAGCACGAAGAGACCGAAGTCCCTCGTGACGCACGCCTGCTGTGTGATGCCCAGGGCAAGCTCATCTTCATCGGCGACTGCGCACCTCTCTCGTTTTTTCAGACTGTCCGCCGACTGGTCACGAGCCGCGTCGATGCACACGCTTTTGCCCCCGAAACCAGCGGCTACTCGACGCTCGAAAATGTCTTCTCCCGCCCTAGCGCCTCTGGAAGCTACGGTGCTAAACCCCCGCCAGTCAAGGTGCCCATCCGACCTACCGTGTCGGCCTACTTCGAGGTGACGACCGGATTGTTTGACCTCTTTGACAATGCTCGTCTAGCCGACGACCTTTCTGCCTGGACTGAGCATCAGCTTCGCCCGCCAGACAAGGCTCTTGATGTTGGCTCGGCCGTGAACTACCTTGTCCTTGCCATTGGCTGTCAGAAATCGGATGAGAGCACCGCCGAGCTGTACTTTGACTATGCCCGCCAGCTCGCCTTTGCCAGCCTGAGCGGCGACCTAGGAGTTTCCAGCGTCCAGGCCTTCATGCTCATCAGCTTCTACTCGCTTGGGGCATGCCAGATCAACGCCGCCTTTCTGTTCTTTGGAATTGCAGCGCGGGCAGCCTACTCGATTGGGATACACCGGACCGCTGTCAACGCCAGGTTCGACCCCGAGATCCATCGGCAAAGAGACCGCCTCTGGAAGAGCTTGCGCGTATTGGATCTGTTCCTTAGCACATCCATGGGCCGCCCACCCGCCACTTCAGACGTCGATTGCACCGTACCATACCGGGCGCAGGACCAGGCCGGCAACGAGAAGTTTGATCTCTTGAACGCCTCGGCCCAAATCTTCCTTGTCATAGAATCCATTGTGCTGGAAGTATACTCTCGGCGAAAGATATCTCCCCGGCTGACCGAGGGCATTTCGCGAGAGCTTCGAGATTGGTCAACTCGCTGGTTGCAACGCTTGAAGAGCGTGATTGATGAGACGTCATCCGAGCATCAACCCGGCATGATAAACGGCGCCTGCCAGATCCTCTCATCGTATTACTATGCCGTGATTCTGGTTTCCCGGCCGTTTCTCATGGTTGAGCTGCATCGACGACTGTCGGGAGAATACTCGTTAGCTGCGCCCACTGGTCTCACAACTGGCAAGGCCAAGCTCGCTGACGCCTGCATCGATGCCGCCATCTTGATGGTAGGAGCGGTCCAAGATCTCACTGAGCGAGGCCTCATGACACGACGCGCCCCTGTAATAGTGTATGTCATGGTCCGAATCTCCCTGAATTTCCCGTCTCGACTCGTTACTGACGTCCCTGCCAGCTCTTGGCTCTTTGCCTCGTCCCTGGTGTTAGGTGTAGGGCTCTTGGGCGGATTCGGGCGAATCATCGAAAAGCACTGCCGCGCTTCTATATGTGCTCTGGAGTATTTCGCCCTGTCCGATGCGCATGCCGTGCAGTATTCTCTCATTGCCAAGTCTCTCCTTAGGACAGCTTTGGAGCACCTCGAGAGGAAGGAGATGCAAGAACGGCTGCAGAGAACCGAGGTTTCGTCCCAGCTCTTTGGCCTCATACCCCATGCGTGTCTCAGAACCTCGGCGGGCCGAGGCGACCGGAAGCTGTCCGAGGATGACCATGACGCAGCTTCCAGCGACGGTTCCGCTTCAAAGGGACCGAGCCGTACTGATAACGCACGCCTTGAGCAGGCCAGTGGCCCACGCTTTAATTTTGACTTTGAGTCGGCTTTCCTCGGTTTGACCGAGGCCTTTCCCAGAACACCAGACTTCTCATTCAGCGGCAATTCCCTCAACCCTGATGCCGACCAGACTTTTGGGGCTATGAACCTCTTTCCGCTGCTCGAAACGGACGGTCACATTGACCTAGCTAGCTATTTCTGAAGCCTGAGCCGCAATGCATCCGTGGATGCTGCCCCAGGGAGTTTACGTCAGCCCTCTCTTCAGGGGCCCGAGGTTCCGGCATCATCTGAATGGCAGGTTTGTCCACTTCCCGAGCCGTTCCCCGCGTTTGTCAGGGACAAATGAAACACCCCATTCAGCCAGGCGATGGCTGTAGATCGCGATTGTATCATTGGTCACCTGTCGCAATCTGCCGGCAACTTGATAAGGTAAGCAGTTGCGACTTCACCAGTGTCCATACGCATCGCTTCGAAAGAGGGCTGCTGAAGCGAAGGCAATGGATCCTGCACTTTGGAGCCGCATGCCTTGATTTGTGGCTGTCTGATCACTATCTAGCTCCCCACACGCCTGGGACGGGCAATTCTCCGGGAAAGTGTTGACTTCAGTCTCGGAGACAGCCAAGTACACCCCTCATCTTAGGTCTCTCGTGGGATACATCAACATTGCACACCTGGGAGCACGGTATGACGAACTCTGGGAAAGACACCGTTCATTTTTTAACGTCGAGCCGTTTGTGCGCCCATGGGCCAGAAACGGCGCGACCTGGCATGTGCCAAGTTTCAGATGCTTGAGTCACCCGCTGCTCAATTCCCTCCGCATCCGAACCCAAGCACATATACCCGGATTGGCATTAGCAAGCTCTTGTTTTGGCTTACATCAGAGCATCTACAGCGCCAAGCGTGAAGACGGGGCAAGATGCCAGATGCATTACTGTGTTCCCATTTACTGTACCGCCCAGCTACGCAGGCTTCGGATGGCACACGCTGGGTCAGCCGGCTGCTTACTGCTCGTGGTTGTGGAACTCGCTTTTGTGGGATTACAGACTGGACCACTCGGTCACAGGATGTTGTCGTGTCGATGAACGATTGCTTTCGCCAAGTATGACAACGGGAGGACATGGACATGCATGGGAGAGGTCGCTCAATACCAGATTGCTGCCTTGCCTGGGAGCCGTTTGCCGTTTATCCATAAAGGGTTATGCTCGCTGTCGGTGAGGCCCCATCTTGCTTAGAGGCAGCTTGCTTTGTCTTGGTCCTGCCGGTGGTCTGTTCTCCTTAGTTGTCAAGCGTCAAGACCGGTCCAAGATCCAGCATCAAGCACAGGTATCTGGCCTGGGCTTACTGGCGAACCGGGCGAACCGGCCATCGGCTACTTCGACATGCCGCTCGCATGATGCTGGTCCACTCCTGCTCCCCCAGAGTCTTTCTGGTCCTGGTGGCACTTCTTTTGGCCGCCTCACTGTTGACTGCATTTCGACGTCAAAGCGGCTTGGGAGCGGCCAGACCCCTCTATCCATACCTGGGGAGCGAACAGGGTAAGGCTCTAGGCCATGGGCAGCATAGTGACGACACCACGCGGAACACGCCTTTGCTAAACACAGTTGGAGAAGTTACAGAGAAGTGTAGCAACCCGGAGCTCGACCTGCTGCGCCGCCCCGACCTTGGTCTGACTGAGTCGATCCTCTATACACGCCGTTGCATCAAGGCAATCCCAGGCAAAAGCGATCGCGATGTGGTCTCCAACATCACCGGTCCTCTCATTACCGGCACAACGGCGTTTAACCTGACCGCCGACTGCTCAACCGTCAGGCTACCCCGTTGTGAGCAATTAACACTGCACGTACCCCCGCCCTATCCCCAAGCACAGTATCGACACCTCCTTTTTGGCGTAGCCTCCAGCTATGAGCGTATCCGCAGCTCACTCCCGGTATTTGCCCATTGGATCGCGGGAACGGGGGCGCGGCTGGTGCTTGTTGTCTCAGACGCCGAACTACCACAGACGGAGCCCCTCAACCTATCTGCCCTCCAAGAGGAATACCACAACGCGGGCATACAGGCCATCATAATCCCGCCCACGATCAGGGAAGCGATTCCGCACAAGGATGCAGACCATGCCCAAAGCGCCCACCACCCCGCCCCCGTTGAGCAACTGCATTTCCTGCTCATCCGGGATATGCTCGCCGTCGCGACGCAGGAGACGCAATGGCTCGGTATCCTGGACGACGACACCTTCTTCCCGGCGCTGTACCCTCTCGACCAGGAACTCAGACGCCACGACCACACACGCCCGACCTGGCTGGGCACGTTGGCCGACAGTTTCAGCAGCATCCGCGTATGGGGCTACATGGCGTACGGCGGGGCGGGTATTTTCCTGAGCGTTCCCCTTGCCCGCCAGCTCGAGCCCCATCTAGAAGCGTGCATCCGCGAGACAACGGGGGTGGTGGGCGGCGATGGGATGCTAAGGGACTGTATCTATGCCCACACCACGACCAAGCTGACCCTGATCGAGGGGCTGTACCAGCATGATATCATGGGTGACCCGTCGGGATTCTTCGAGAGTGGCCGACGGGCGCTGAGTTTGCACCATTGGTACGTATCGTACTACTCTTTGTGTATTCATACATGGCACATCACCCCGCTGTGCTCTCTGTCTTCCCTCTCTTACGGCCGTTCCCCCGCGTCGCACCATTTTGCTTGTATGTACATACCATACGGATAAGTCTGCGCCCCCTGTTCCCCCAGCTGACCAATCCCTCATTTGTCTTGTAACCCCGCAGGAAATCATGGTACCACGCGCCCGTCGCCGCCATGGCCACCATCACACGCCTCTGCGGGGCCTGTTTCCTGCAGCGCTTCCGCTTCACCGGCGATGACACGCTGCTCGCCAACGGGTACAGCATCACGCAGTACTCCCCGCCGGGGCTGCTCGACACCCTGGACCTGTCGCGTGTCGAGGGGACTTGGGAGCATGCCTTTGATGACGACGACCACGACAAGGACAAGGACAACGACAGCAACAGTAACAGCAGCGATTTCGACTTTGTCTACGGCCCGTTGCGAAAGGCGCTCAGCGAGAGGGAGAAGAAATCATGGAGGCTGGTCACCGCTGCCCCTGTTGTTACCGCTGCTGCTGCTGGTGGTGGTGCTGATAATAGGGATGGTCATGATCACGATCATGGTAAAGCGAGTAATCCCAAAAAGCTTCGGCAACTGTATGTGCATCGTGCCCGGAGGGGCGGAGAAAGGGAGCCGGTTGATGAAGTAATTGAGCTGGTTTGGGAGGTATGATTTAACATACAGACAGCTATCCATGATGATGGGCAAGGGAATTAGGATGCAGTCAATATCTAGCCAAGGGGAACCGGTTGATCCTAAGCAACGTATAACGGAGGTAGTTGCTGACAGTATCCGGTCGGCGTAATCGTAGACTGAAGCTGCTTGACCCGGGAAGTCAATTGTCGGGACGGAGGGGACAAAACGGAACGCAGAGCTCCGTTCGGGCGTCATTGTGAACTCGGCGCTGCCAATTGAAACCGTCCTTGCTTCTCCAGACAGCCGCCTCGCACGCTGACATGACACCTACAATCGTGGCAAGGTATACAACCCAATAATCTAGTTACACGTCCCAAAGGTATGTATTCGAAAGCTGTTGTTGTGAGCAACGGAGGATTCCTTGCCCTTCCTTCCGTTGGCCCAAGAATACTCATCAAACATCTCTGCTCAAATAGCCACTCCCGGTGGCACATGTAGAATATTAAGTATACACAATAACATGGCCAATTTCAATGCCAAGGGCCAAATAAAATTTCCTAAGAGGGAAAAGGTCCTCCAAAGAACAGAACAGAACGAAGTCGTAACATAGCCATCCCTTTTCCGGTTCGGCAGAAGTAATTGCCAAACTAAAAAATCGAGAAGAACCGCCCGTTATGGTTGATGCCTGCAGCAAGCTGTTGGAACATATGTTCCTTAGTTCGTCATTTGCACTCCAGATGGTGTTGATGCTTACCTTCCTCATCTCATCCAAGTACGGAAAGACCAGCCATTAAGACGCCGCGCTGTTCGCTCTCACACGCTGAATGCCAGCAGACCAACACCGCTCACAGCCGGCACGAAAAACGCTTCTAAGCCGAGGCCTTCCCGGCATCCCTGACGGCGCGCATCCACTTCTCCTCCTCTCCGTTCCCTCCAACGACACGTCGACCTTTCCCCACATCTGATGCCGTGCCCATGACGGTCTTCACCTCTGCCGCAGTCTTTGCCTGCAGCAGACCCATCTCCCTCTGTTGCAGCAACGCGACGGCCGCATTGATCAGCAGAGAGTCACCTTCAAAGACATATACGTCCCATAATCGTGTGGTCTCGTCCAGGGCAAGATAACGGGTAAACAGGCTGGTAAAAATATCGTTAAGGTATAGTTCTGGGTCGAGATCGGCAACCCGCATCAAATGGTTGTGTAGATTCGGGGATTTATTCGAGAGGGTATGCAGGACAAGGTTATAGGCCGAGGTCTTTGCCCCAACATCGCATGCGTAAAAACTTAGGGGCAAAGGGCGGTTGAGGACGTTGGCCAGTGACACGAATGCATCTGTGGCTGTCGAGAGGTTGAGGAGCAGGAGAGCTGCTATCGTGTTGCAGCCTGGCACATATCCAATGTCGCTCCGATACATGGCGTACGCTCTCAGGACATCCAACAAACTTTGGTGAAGGGGGCCGCCGGGCTGGAAGATTCGTAGTTCAGGCCATGTGCGCTCCCGAACGTCGTTGCTGATCCTATCGAACCAAGATAAGGCGCGCATGTCCGCCGCGCTCCCATGTCCTGATTTTGCCTTTGCCTCCGCGTCGCGCGCCCGGCCGAGGGCGGCCTCGAAGGAAATCGTGGTAAGGCCAAGGTCGTTTCCAATTGCCCGAGTCCAGACTGCGCCTCGGCTACGGGGCGCGATTCCGCGCCACCACATATCCCTCGTCCTGCGCTCTCTGATCGCATCATTCCACCGGGGAATGATGTCGTGCTCCCATATCTGCATTATGCTGTCGGCTGCAACATCGCGGCACTCTGATCGGGCGCGTTTGGCTGTCTGACGACGGCGCTCTGCTTCCAGGCTCTGGGCCATCATCTTTTGGTACTCTTTCAAGTGGCGGCGTTCTTCGGCTGGGTCTTTGGGCGGAAGCCATGAGGGGCGTGTGCGCGAGAGCACTGCCTCTTTTTCCTTGGAAATGGGTAAAGGATCGATCATAATGTTAGACCTACGCAGAGGGGGCAACTCTGCTAAGGCTGATTTCACTCTTGGTTTAGTTTCTGGATCCGACGACCTCCTAGCGATTGGCATAGAGCCGGTGCTGGACCGCTGAGCTTTATGCTCCATCTCGCTAGCATGTTCCTCCAACTTTTCTGTCAACGCTTTGGCCTCGGCATTCAGGTCTGACAGCACGGCGGACCAGCTCTTTGCTTTCGAGGCAACCGGACTAGGAACTCGGCTTGACGCAGCGGAACTGGGCGTGGAGAGCGCCGAATCCGACTTCCAAGTCGGCGATCGGAGAGATCCTTGAGCGAGAGCTACTGGGGGTGTGCCGTTACCGAAACTGCGCACTCTATCCTTGGGGTGGCGCTCCGGAGATGGTGCCTTGGAGGAAGCACGGCTTTGGCACCTTTCGGAAGGTGGCCTCGGCGAAAGAGGTACGTTGTCCAATACAAGACCTTCAGGAATGTCGTCTCCATCATCTTCATCGCACTCAAGCTCCAACTCCAAGATCGTTTTGCGCTCCCTGTTTGACTGCCAACTGCTCCTCCGTGGCTTCATCATGAAATTCGGGTCTCTTACAGAGAGCGCGGGGCTGGGACTTCGGTGCCGGCTCACGGATAGATGGGACGGCAGAGCAGCGAGGTTACGCGTTGGCAGCGGACTTGTCTGAGGCTCCGGCAGGAGCCCCAAACCTGAGACGCGTTCATTGGCGCTTCGGATGTGGCTTTGAAGCTTGGGGAGGGACGGTCGCCTCTGGGCGAGAGGTGGGGAATCGCGCTTTTGACGGCCTCTGGACAAATCTCGCGAATACTGCAATCGAGGGGTAGAGGCCGAGAGCGGCTTCTTCGTCACGGCTCGCAGGTCTGACGAGAAGGACGGGCTGTAGGGATTTGAAGGATGCTTCAGGTGCTCGTCTGACAATCTGCGCGGGTTGATCTGAGTATCGTCGAGCCCTATATCCTCGAAATTGCTCACATCGGCGAGGACGCTGCCTTCGTCCGAATGAATTGAGGTAAGTGAAGACGCCTTCGACGACTTGGAAGTCGTCATGCTAGGCGGCGAGCCGGGTCTGGGGGAAACGACATTGTGAACCGGCCTCTCGTAGATCATCATCTTGGCATGGTGCACACCCGGGAAAATCGCTCTTCTGCTGCACGGTCGCCAAAAGCCTGCTTGTTGGGTCACTTCGGGGTTTTCTGGGTTGTTTCGTGTTTCCCCGATCCACGGGAAATCCGGCTCAAGACCAAGGTGAGGACGGAGCTGCACGAGAAACGACTCTCGGAGGACGGAGAGTGTTCCAGGACTGGGCGTGCTGGGCGCTTCCAAGAAGGATCAGACAGAAGCCGAGCGGTTACCCCTGTTTCTCAGGCGCTTGTCTCAAAATGCTGCTCGACCGGGAATTGGGCAACGGGACGAATAGCAAGACTCGCGTTACAGAATCTAACGCGACTTGCGAAACGACGTAGGATAATGCCTGGGACTAATTATACACCTTATCGCTGAACGATCGACTACTGTAGGGCCGACGGTGTTCCGTCCGAAATACTAGGAATTATCGGTGGGGTGACTGGAAGTCGGATGCTCAGTCAATGTAGCGAATGTTCAGAATTCGAGTGGTTAGGTATGCGGCCGGATTGGATGGCGGAGTTCTAGCGAGTGACTGACTGATCCAGGAAAGATTATGTGCAAGGAAACGAAAGAGAAGGTGCTTCGCAGGTTTTGAGATGCGAAGGAAAAGACCGAGTGGAAAGAGGCCGCAAATGACGGACGGATCGAAACCAGGAAGCGAGGGAAGGAGGAAAGCGCGGGCCACAGAAATCAGAGTGGATGATCGGTGCAAGGCTGTCCAATGAGAAGCAGCCAACAGCACGGCACCAAAAAGAGCTAAAATTGAATTTCAAGGCACAGGCCATGCGACCATGGCATTGTGAGGTGGTGATATCAGACCGATCTTTTGTTGTGATAGCTAAACTTGCATCTGGTGTCATTCTGCGGTACATTGACCATCATATCGGGCATTGGCCATGACTTTCCAAGGATCTGGCCCTGTAAGCAGCCTGCGGCCATTGCGGCGATCCATGAAAAAGGCCTCGTCGGCAGGATTGGGATTGAGTACGTATACCTCCGTATGTACTGTACTGGACGTGACGGGCGATGCCCGCAGGCCGCGTGAACGGGCGAGTGCAAACCAGCCAACGACCAAGTCAACGGCACCTAACTTCCATTGTAGTTGGTGACGGCTATGGAGCGGGCCAACTGACAGATCTCGAATGCTGACGCATCTAAATTTAAGACTAACTTACCGTAGTTAGTCTGTTCACAGACTAATTAAACCGAATTTAACAGTGGGCCAAAGCCACAAAAGTGCCGGCAGATTTTGAAACGGCGTCGAGGTGCAGAAAGATCGTGGCCAAGATCGTTGGCTCAGTGCTGACATTCGAGTTACTGTATGTATGCAATGACGCGAAATCTGTGCAACGCAGTTTATAAGACTTGTAATTATGTACGAAGTACCTATCCGTATATGAGCATTTGAGTCTCCATTACTTCGTACTGAAGTAGCTCACTGTTCTAGAATGACTGCGAGTCGCACCGCAAGAGTTTACTTAGGGGCTAGAAATGAAGAGGGGGCATTCCTAATCTCGCTCGACTGGTTCTTAATTGAGACCTTTGAATGGTGGTTCCACCTTCCACTTTCGGCGACATGGTTATCGCTGTTTGACTTTGAACGCCTCCCAGGAGTTCGTAGAACAGAGCAGCTGTGCTGAGTTGGAGTGGACCTAACTACCTTACGCACCTTACAGTGTTTACACATCATTTTGCCCGGCCGGGCATATCGGTCCGGAGTGCCCAGGGCCGGATCCGTTGAGGATCCTCCTTCCGGCCGTGGTTCCGGCCCGGTTCCACAACCGTCTGCTACCTGCCCTTCAACCACCCAAAAACGGAAATTCTCATCCTTACAAAGCCTATACAAATGACAACATAGAGAACAATGCTAATCGTCCATCAAGAGCGGTATTCGTGTCCACAATCGAAACGCAGGTAAACCCCGGCTCCAGGCATCTTTCCTCGCCATCCCCTTCTTGGCCGCTGGACCGGAAGCCTGCCGGACGTCCCGCTTCTTGGGGTCCATGGATTGTCCAGGGTGGTCAACTGCGAAGGGGAACTGACAACACGAGAGAGCGATCATGAACCTCGCCAGCGTTGACTCCACCTCAGAATAGGGGCAAGTTTAAGCTGTTGGGAGGACCGAAGCTGCACGCGGCCGACCGCCAACTGCCGTTGACATAGCATTCTGCCGGTACTACCTACACCGAAACACATGGCTACTGCGCAGGTAAATTGCTTCCATTGCTTCTTGGTTATAGGAGAGTTGTTGCGCGAGTCCGGCAGCGTTTTGTTCCACAGGTCGGCAACCATCCTGCCGCCCAACACCCGGGGACATGCTTGGAAGTGACTGATTAAAGACAGCTTTCGGTGCAAAGACAGGCGTGGCTGTCCGTCCATTTTCTCCCATGTATCGTTGTTGCCGGTCTATATGGATCGCGCCTGCCAACTCAATTTCTAGCTGGTCTCATTGGTATCTTAATGGGCAGGAGCCCTTAATTCGTGACGTACGGCATATTAGCAGCTGCCGTTTTCCTCGACGGCAGCTATCACACTTACGAGCTGTACACACCTTGCCAATCTCTTAAGCTTGACTGCTGGTTTGGGCAACAATGCGACTCGAATCCTTCTCCTTTTGGCTTGGATCCGCCCTTGCCGCTATCTCTACTGAACTCCATGGGAACTTCTCGCTCACCTGTAGTGGCGTCAAGCTCGTCAACAACTCTTTCCTCGCCGCCTCATGCCTCAGCCCAGCCGAAGCTGGTGGTGAAGGTCCCCTGGCTCCGACCAAGCTTGACTTGGCCATGTGCATCGGTCTCAACCAAGTAAGCGGTCATCTTCAATGGGAGATTTAGTGAGCTATCCCTTCCTGCAGGGTGTTGATACTCGAAAGGCAGTACTAACCCGGATCCCCCCAGCGGCAAATTCACCAACTACTGTAATAATTGCAGTATTACGACCAAACTCGGGGAACCTGACCACTTCTTCTCCTGTTCCTGTGTCCCGTTGGTTGGTGGCCGTAATGCCCTCCGCTCGACTCTCGACTTGGGTACGTCTAAAACCAAATCTGGTTTTGACTTTCCGGCAGCAGGGCGTTGACTTGTACCAGATGAAGGCGTCAGCAATGATCAGGGCACCCTCAAGTGCAAAGGGGGAGTTGGTACATCCCATTGAAGGAACGTTTAGACGAGGTTCTGCCTGGCAGACAAAGTGAAGAGTCAACCTGCCCGAGGCCTGAGAGGATTCAGAATCTGTCATACTCAGGAACTTATTGCCCGATTACTCACACAAAGGCATGGGGAAGCCGAGGATGATTTAGCTACGCCTCGTTATCCATAAACTGCAACGAGCTTCGCTGGGTTCCGGGCACATTGGCCCCGTTGATGCTGTGTCGCCGTGGCCCTCCTTCTCACGCTGCTGATCGGTTACCCAGACGCCCCCAATATCCCCACAGCCTAGACTCTTCTATTCCTTGGAGGTCCAGAGGAGGATGTGCACAGCGTACTATCCATATGTAGCCAGAGACGGCCTGAAAACTTCCTCGCTCATTCGACGGAAAGTAATCCAGCATCGACTCCGACTCAAACCCCTAAAGAGTATCCAGGGAGTGAAAGAGATAAAACCGTGTGAGAATGCAAGCATCCTCTTCATCTCTTCTCTCGTTCTCCCATCATCCCATGTCGCATGCATAAGTCGGTAAGCCAATAAGTTACATGTAATGCATGAAAAGACCTGTCCAGCTCGATGCATTCTGTCTCTCCCGAGTGCTACTAGACCAGCAACTTGGATGCTCACGTGTAGGCCTACAACTGCCCAATCTGCCCAAAGAGCTGACAAACTTGGAAGCTTCGAAAGCTGAAGATGGCTAGGAGCTGGCCGACCGGCCTCTGTTGTCCGCCGTGCCAAACGTAACTAGAAACCAGGGTTCTTCATCCTATTCGAGGTCCTCAAACCTATGCCTTGCTTTTACGGACGAATGCAGTCAACCCAACTTTGACCTGTCTGGAATGTGGGAGCATGTCAGCCTGTCAGACAACACCCTCCCCTCGTCGTCCCAACCTCGTTCCCCGCACCGCAACGCTTATGCAAGCTCCAACTGCCGCCCATTTGATCAGAGTTCGTAGTAAACTACGAACGTAGCACCGGGTAACCCGGAACAGGCATGGCATGACATGACGTGACAGCGGTGACAGCCGTAGGCAAGAAAGCCCAGCATGTGCATCTTATTTTCCAGTCTAAAGAGGACAAGAAATGAGCGATGAACCCGAGCCCGAACACGCCAGACCAACGGCATGTCCTCTCCTCTCTGCTGATGTACGATTACGGTCTTGTCCGTTACCCCGCGGTTGCACCCATAAGTTATGGAGACAACCAGCCGGTCACAGATTGCCATGAACGAATCAATCCCATCAGCGGCTGGCATCGTGCTTTAACTCTTCATTGCATGCAGTGCATGGACAAGGTAGTAGGTCTATCGTCTATCAACCAAACGAACCATCTCGCTCGCTCTCCGCATCCCGACATATTCAGTGCTTTCTCTCCCCGCTTCCGGAGCCGGGGAATGACAGGAGGGCATCGAAGAGACTCTAAACAAAGAACGCCGCACGACAACATTAGAGTCCTGAAAAGCCTTATAGCGTCATGACGTTAGCCCGAACCCGTTAATCCAAGACTTTTCACCGGGTCCACAACCCCACTGCACCGACGAGAGTCGAGACAGACAGACGGACTACCGCAGACAATAGCTTAACAGGTAAAGCGCATTTTTGTCCCAGCGACTGGCCAAAATGAAGCAAAGAGAACCGAGACAAATTGCCAGCCGGGAGGGGAATAGCGGGTTTGGGTCCAAAGGAAAACGGCAACAGCGTGGAAGGCGGCAGAGAAGACTCGACTCCATCGTGCCTTTCACTGGGCAACGGGCTGGAGCTTGGCCGGGGCGGCACCCAGACCGTTGTGGTTGCGGAAAAACAAGACACCCTTGGCAGGGCCTTCGGCGCCCGAGGTCGGTTCCACCCACTGGCACCATCTCGCGCTCTTCCACAGTGCCTTGATGAAGCCTACGGGGCCCTCGCGTGTGTCGGCTCGGTAGTGGCGACCCATGACGGGCTTGATGGCCTCGGTGGCCTCGTCGGCATTGTAAAAAGGGATCGAGCTCACGTAGTGGTGCAGCACGTGGGTCTCGATGATGCCGTGAAAGAGGTGGCGACCAATAAAGCCAAACTCCCGGTCGATCGTAGCGGCGGCGCCGCGGACAAAGTTCCATTCTTCCTCGGTGTAGTGGGGGAGCGAAGGGTCCGTATGTTGAAGGTAAGTAATGGCCACTAGTGAGTCGATAGTTAGCCATATTGGCTTTCTCTTTGCAAGCAGAAAGATCCGCGACTTACCAAGCCAATGGTTGACCCACATGTACGGCAGGAAGTACCAAACGAACATGTTCGACCACCCAAACGTGTTGCCGAGATAGACGAGCACCGACACCGTGATCGTCAAACCAATATCGCTCAGAACGATAAGATGGGAATCCTTGTTCTCGTACAGGGGGCTGCGGGGATCAAAGTGATTAACGCCGCCGCCGAAGCCGTTCCTCTTACCCTTGCCGCGACCTTCCCTTTGCTTCTCGTGGTTGTTGTGGCCCGTCACATTGGTGAGGAGGTAGTTCCACCAGCCAATGGATTGCTGGCCGATAAGGTGGAGCAGCGTGTACACAGGCGTCTCCTCGGTCAACTCGGAGAGCTCGTGAACAAGGCGACCAATGCGAGTAGCGTGGTCTTCCCTCGTGCGAGGTACAAACACCATGTCTCGTTCCATGTTTCCGGTGGCCTTGTGGTGCTTGCTGTGGCTGATCTGCCAGCTGAAGTAGGGAACCAGCAACGACGAATGCAGGATCCAGCCCACGAAGTCGTTGAGTCTCTTGGAGGGAGAGAAGGCGCCGTGACCACATTCGTGGGCAAGGACCCAGAGGCCGGTGCCAAAGAGGCCCTGTATGAAAGTATACACGGCCCAAAGCACGACACGCATCGGCTTGGCCGGGATGTACTCGGGCGTCACAAAGGTGTTCCATATATAAAATGTCGTCGCAAGGCACACGATATCGCGCGCGACATAGCTCAGGCTGCGGATTGCCGAGCGCTCGAAGCAATGCTTCGGGATGGCGTCACGAATGTCTTTGATGGTGAAGTCAGGGACCTGAAATTCATTCCCATACGTGTCGATGAGCTTCCCATAGCTCTTGCGGGCCGGAGCATCATCAGAGGCGAGCGATGACAGTGATGTGGACGAGGCCGACGGGCGGGGAGAATCGATCGGAGAAACGACAGCGCTCGAGGTCCAGTCCGAGTCGATGGTGGTGGACGTGGGATTCCTTCGGAGCGAAGGCTTCTTGCTAGCCGCAAGACCCGATGTGGTCGAGGAAGCCATTTTTCTTGGCTGATCGAATCAATCGCCTCAGCGCACTGTCTTCCAGAGCACCGTTGCGTGACGACAACGGCAAGAGATCTAGAGAGCTTGCTGATTAGCAACTGCTGCGATTACTTTCCGACTATTCAGTTGCAAAGGTGGAAGGCCCAGCTGGATCTTACATACCGTCAATGTCAGGGAGAACTCGAAACGACCGCGAAAGGAAGGGAAAGGGAGGAGGAAATCAAATGCAGGAGGCCGACAAGTGTACTAGGTTGCCGGAAGTGAGTTCCTCCTGTCCAAGGGGTCCAAATTTTCTTGTGCGATCGCGTTCCCCGTGGGTCGATATCCGATTTGTTGGGTCGCCACGGCAATGGGCCGCTCTTCCGGAGAAAATCGACTGCACGAAATCGAAAACAACCTCCTGAAAATCTGACCAGAACGGCACTCAGAGTTTGCTTGCAAATGCCAGAACAAGCCCAACAGCGCAGGCCAGACGAGAGGGACAATGCGAGGCTTTTAAAGCGGGCGCTAGCAAGAGCAAAGGCAAATGGCATTTTTTTCTTTGCAGGTGCCCTTGAGGCCCTGCATGAATGCTACCGTCACACGGAGGTAGCCACCGCAAGCCTCCATCCTCAGGAGTTTCTGTTGACTCTGGGGGCGACATCTGGAACCCGACGACTCGCTGGTCCACAGTTCGCTTCGGGGCACCCATGCACGGAAAAGGATGAGACCTCGGACTCCTGACAGCCAAGTACGGGTGGAAGGAAGCTGTTCACCGCCTTGCGTGGGCAATAGACAGTACGGAGTACAAGAGGTGGCAATCTCACATGCCAATCGGCTGAGCAGCGAGACCTTGATGCGGTTTCCACAGGCTGGATAGGAGAGACTCGCAGGCCGATTGTCTTACCGACGACTAGCCGATTGGCTGCAAGATATCAGACAAGCACACACCGGATCGCTGCATTTCCTGCATTTTCGTCTCTTTCGGACCCCATTCTTCCAACCAGCAGCCGGCTGCAATCACTAACCAGGAGATGGCAAATCAATTTGCGCGAGAACCGTGCTGTAGACGGTAGCGCCGAGAGGGTATGGCAAGAAGACTTTGGATGGTGAGTTGGGAACCGAGGCACGAATGAATCGTTGCTGCACAGTACAGTACCTAAACGGCAAATATGACCACATGTCGGAGGGACAGGTTGCCGGAACAGAACAGCACATGGTTTGACTCGAGATCATGTTTGGTGAGATCACTGATGATGATGTGAGATGTGAGATTGTTGGACCTCGGGAACAAAGGTGGGTCCCGCCTACCCCTGCCATCTTAGCAGGGCATCCCTCTTGCGGACGGGTTGCACCGCGGGGGCGGGGTAGCTGAAACACTGAAACTTGCCGGTAACAAGTCAATGCTGGGTGGAATCTTCCGAGTCTGAACTTCACTTCTTGCCAAACAATATGTGTAGTTCTCAAGAAATATGAAAGCTAGAACGAATTCCCGCACTTCTCGAGGAACAGGCCTCTGAAGCGAAAGAAATTCAAGAAAGAATTTTGGGAATCCACAAGGGGCACTCGAAGCCAACAGACCGTGTTTCTGGGAAGGTGGGGTTGTAAGTTTTTGTTGGGGGACGCTAGCCGGCTTTTGTTGAGGCAAGGGATGTCAATTCAGGATCCTTGTCTTCGGTGTCGCATCCCGCAATGTCTCCACACCAACTTGAACGTCTCAGCCGCCTCTCACGCCTCTCTATGCGACCCAAAGAGGCCGTTCGACATGAACCGGAAGACACCAGAGATCGCCCACCTCCGGCCCCCGGGCCGGGATCGGAAGAACCCACCGGCGCCTGGCAGCCGGTACGGGTGCTCCCGTTAGTCGCGCAAGTTCCCGTCCTAGAGCTTGGCACCAGCGCTGGCTTTCTTGCAGTTCGAACTGGAATGGAACATTCCATAAAACTTGTGCCGCACCGGACCGCATAGGAAAGTAGCCATGAGCACACTGTCTATGGTGAAGGCAACCGGCGATCGCCAGACATTGCAACACCAGAACCAAGCATTAATTACTATAGTACCTTCCAGTTTACGATGCATTCTAGGGCACAGGTCTTGCTAACCCAGGCATCCTACCCGCGCCATCCCATTTACCTCCCTCCCGCTACCTAGTCCACCACCACCGGATCCGATCTGATACCTGTTCCTCTACCCATCCAGCCGCGGACCCCAGACCGACGCCGTTCAAGATCCCGGGCTATTGTTGCTAGGTGGGGGTTTGGGACCGCGGTTTCGCGTCGGACCCATGCTGGCCGTTTCTTGGAAGGGTGCGGGCTTGGGTTTTGCGCCTTAGCTCTCCTCTTACGGCCCGCCCTCGTTGCGCAAGGAGTCTGCTCGGCTTCGGCGAACTGTTCATACTCCTCGCTCTCACTACCTTCATCGTGCTCTCCGTCTCGACTGTCCCCGTTCTCGGACAGACCCTCGGGTCTAAACGTTCTGTCGTCTGGTTCCTCGTATTCCGGGCCGCTGTCGAAGTCATCGTCCTCCTCCACTTCTTCTTCCTCTCCTTCACTCGCCGCTTCGTCCTCAGACGTCGTGCTCCTCGCGAACGATGGCTGTTCCTCTGCCAATAACAGGTTCTGTTGAGTCTCAATCTGAGCACTGTCAGTATGTTCCCTGGGAAGCTTAGCGACATAACTCACGATGGCTATTTGCCTTTCGAGTTCCTCTTTTGCTTCTTGGCTCCACCTGGACTGCTCAGCCAATTGCTTTTCCATGTTTTCCTGTTTGTCAACGGCATGGCCGAGCCGAGTCGTTAAATCCTGCAGACTCTGTCGCAAGCCCTTCACTTCGCTCGTAAACAAGTCGCTCTTATCCATCACCAGTCGCCAGAGCTCGTCGGCTGCTGATGACCCCAGTTTGCCACAGTTACCACAGTTACCACACTTATCACACCCTGCCCTTGCGGGCCCATGGTTTGGTTGACCCGAGGCAGCCAAGGTTTGGGATCGGTTTGGTTCGGGCAGAGCAGAAATTCTCCCGCCAGAGCGGCGCTCGTCGGACGTATTTTGGCTGATTGAGCCTCGCCGGTGGGATTGGGGCCCCGGATGTCTAACCCCAGCCGGGCGCTCCGTCGACGGGTTTTCGGCCCTTTGATTCGGAACGGGCCGGACCGGTTCGCCAGCGTTCGGTGTTTGGTCGATACCAGGCTCCTTCTTTACCTTCGGCGACGGTTTGGACTGCGCATTGGAAGTGTCCATTCTGTCTTTCGGAATGTCCCCCGAGGTCCCGTTGCGAATCTGTTCCACCGTCCCACGGCCGCTTCGTCGGGGACTCTCGCTCGAATTCCCATTACGATTCTGGTTCACTGTCCTCCGGTCACGATGACGAGGACTGCCCCTCGGAATCTCATTGCGGATCTGGCCCACCGTCCCGCGGCCGCCACGTCGAGGGCTCTCTGTCGAATTCCCATTGCGGTTCTGGTTCCGCTGCAAACGATCGTTTCGTCGAGGACTCTCCGTTGAATTCGCGTTGCGATTTTGGTTCACTGTTCCGCCGCCACGTCGTGGACTGTCCCTTGCATTCCCTTTGTGAGTCTGGCTAGCCGCCCCACGGCCACAAGGTCGAGCCAATCCTGTCTGCTCTGCGTCTCGGGGCGTTTCGTTCGGTCCTCCGGAAGGGTGAGTGGCAGGATTTCTCCCCGGCCAGCTACCTATGACGTGTGGCTGGCGTTGGAAATGTCGTCTCTGTATCTGTGTCATATCAGCTCGCCGACCTTAGCCAGTGGATCACCTCTCACCCACCTCATCCCTCATTCTGCGGGATTCTCTCTCCTTGGCCCTTTTCTCTTGTTGTAGCATCTCTCTGAGTCTCCTGCCGGCATCCTCTCCAGACTGTCGCCTCCTCGCTGATTCATTCGAGCGAGCTTGGGGAATGGCGGTCCTGTCGTTTGTCCTTCTCCGGTTAGGCATGTTTGTATTTTCTGTGGGAGACTTCCCCTGCAAATGGGCCATTTTCATCCTCTCCAGTATGGCTGGAACCATGTAACCAGACTTCCCTACCAATCTAGCCTCGTGCCATTGCTCCAGGTTAGGGTGCATATCGGCCGACCTCCTGCCTGACAATGCTTGAGGCCAAGCCCAAGCGAGAAGGGAAAAAGCATGCGGGCATCAAAGCACTGACTTCATTTCGAAAAGGAGAGTCAATGACTGACTCTTCAAGATATTAATACCACAGGCGATCCCACAAGCGATCCCCTGAAACCCTCAAGAAGCCCGAACGTTAACATATTTCGTTTATTGATTGGTTAATGATCAGGATGCCAGAGCTTCGGCGTCAGGTTATGGGCTTGAACTCATCTCTTGTGCGGATTTCCGACGGAAGTAGCCCGTGAGACCCTGTCCATCGATAATGATTCCTCGAAACGGGGATTTGCCGGGCCCACCTTGGGAAAGAAACAATAGGGGACATGCTAGGGATGCAGCAGCCCGGTGACAAGCTGTTGATGAAAGTCATGGATTGATCGCCAGGGTGCTGCTTGATGCTTCACATGGAAACTTGACTACACTCACTGCATAGCTCGATACATAGCTCGGTATTGTGCATCCATAGCTCGGTACATACCTAGCTCGACGTAAACTGCTGTCTCAGCAGGCCGGCTCGACATCCCCGTCCGACCTCCTCAATAGTAATTGGGAGCATGGGACATTGAACATTGGCCCCGGGAGGCTTCCGCCCAATATGGTCTAGAACTGCCAAGCTGATTCACTTCGACAAATTGGTACCGCTCCAAGGAAAGCTTCCCGAGCGGTTCATCGGGTTGTCCCTTAATTGTATGGTCTAATTGCTTCGTTTCCACGCTGAGCCCGGGTACTCTTCCCCGGAATAGGAAGCACTGGAAGTCAGGAAATGAATAACTTACAGGTTGGGTACCGCAAGACCCAGAGAGCCAGGACGTGAATAATGAGACTTGTGCGCAGTTACAGTGACTCGACGTAAACCTCCCCTGCATCGCCATTCTCTCATTATTGCCAGCAACCTCGACTGCCGTAAATTCTTGATACTGCCTACTCTCCTTAAACTCCAAAACGGCACTCGCAAGGATATCTGAATTCCTTGGGTTCGGCAGTTGTTTGATCGAGTATCAGACGCCGCATACGACTCAAGATGCACACAACTCGGGACGTACAGTATAGTAAACAACTTACACACTTCAGCATAAGCACCAGTCATGTACTGTACAGATAGACTTCTGGAAACCCCCTGATGGAAACCGCCGATCATTTACCTCCGTACACGGTGGCCCATTTACACTGTTCGCGGACTATGCGCGGACTATGCGCGGGCGATACGCGGGCGATGCGCGGACGACACGCCGCCCAACTAGAGCCTTGGCTTGGATTCATCTCTTCTTTTCCACTTTCGGCCTCGTAATCGTGAACCCTGGTGACAACAAGAAAGAAAAAAGCAAAGGACCCTGACTGTCGGATCCCCCTTTAACACTAGTAGTTATTCCCAGTGTAATTCTTGGTTAAGATCGACTCGACGCACTGATGAGATGAGCAAGAAGCAGTGCGGAGATGGGTAGATTGCAGGCTCAAGAACAAATCAGATCCCTTTCTTGTCTAATTAGTTGACAATCTCCTCCGTCTCCTCCAGCACCTCCTCCATAATCTCCTCAATGACCTGCTCCTGCCCGTCGGGGGCAATCTCGGCCGCCTTGGCCCTGAGCAGCTCGCCAACGGGATCGGCGGGCAGGCCCAGCGCGGCACGCTCCTCGGCGAGCTCCTTCTCCATGGCGTCGCGCCACGCGTACCACTCGTCGAGCACGCGGCGCCGGTGCTCGACCACGGCCACATCGGCGCTCGTGATGCGCTCGGCATCCTCCTGCTCAAACACGCGCGAGTACTCACGCAGGTTCTTGCGGATCTGCTTCTGCTCCTCCTTGGTGAGCAACGATGGCGGGCGTGGGCGCCACGCCCACTGCTTAAACTTCTCAATGTGTTCCTCGCGCAGCTGTTCACCCTTGAAGTCGTACAGGTGGTAGCCGTTTTCCATCTGGGAGGGAGGTAAACTTGTTAGTAAAGATGACCTACGCGAGTTGACAGTTCAAGGGCTTACCGAGTGCTTCCAGGCTGACGCCCAGGTAGCGACATAGCGACCCGACGGATCCCACTCGACGTCAGTCATTCCATAGTGTTCTGATGTATTCATCAGCTGCAGATTCGCCTTCAGGTCCTTCTCCGACTCCGGCTTCTCGCCCTCAAAGTCGAGGTCGAAGAAATCCAGATCCGAGCTTTGTTGATTGGCGACCGTGGCAACAACGACGAATCTGCCCTTTGGTGACCAGTAGATGGCGTTGCTGTTTTTCTTTTCGAGCGTTCGCAGGTGCTTGAAATTGCCAACCGCGTTGCCCTTTGCCTTTTCAGGACAAAAGAAGGAAACTGCTGTCTTAGGGGGCACAGCTGTAGCGCCAACCGGCTCCGTTGTTGTGATGATGACAAACCGATCGCCCTTGGGCTCCCAGGCAAAGTTAATGACTGTGTCCTTGATCGTGTCGACCACTTCGACGGGTACGCCCTTCTCCCTGATGCGGAAGATCTCAAGCGTCGTGGCTTGTGACTTCTTGGACTTGGAATGCCGGTCAACCTTGACGCAGAGATATGACGCATCCGATTGCCAGTGCAGCTTGGCATCCGAGACGCTGAAGAGATTCGAAGACCGGACAATCTCTTTGGAGGGAATGCTCATCAACCCGACCCTGGCAGGGTTGCTACCAATCTCGGGGGTCCAGAAGCAAAACAGCTGCTCGTATGTCTTGACACCATCCCGTTTCGGAGTGGCTGGCGCCCAGTCAAAGTCCATCACTCCTTCGATCTTAACCGTGGTCTTGTCAAGCAGATTCATTCGCGGAAGCTCGTATACCGAGATAGAGGTGCCCTGATTAAGCCTTGCCACGTATTTATCATCGGCAGACCACTTGAACGCGGGCCACGGAAACTTGGGTGGCTTCTTGGGGCCTTGCTCTTCGCCGGCGGGTGTATCAAGTTGGGCAAAGGACCGCAAGGGCTTCTGCGTCTCTATGTCCCAAATGACGTAGTTCTTGCCATCGTCGTCGATAGACAGGGCAGGATGCCCGCTGTCGGGGATGGCGATCGGACGGTTCGACCAAGTGACTAGGTATTTTTCGTTGGGCGAGAAGGCGACTAGGTTGACGAAGGGATGGGCGAATCGCCGAAGCCTAGACCACGATGCGCCGCCCCACAGAAGTACACCTTGCGCATGTACAGAAGTGAGATAGGTTCCCAACGGTGACCACTGAACAAAGGTCTCTGTCCATTGTTGCCGGTCAACGATATTCTCGGGCTGGTCCTTCTCATTGTTCCAGAAGACGCCCACAGTGTCCCCCCTGAACATAACGAACTGGTCTCTGCCGCGTCCACTGGGGTCCGCCAAAAACCAACGGAGATGCTCCTTTTCTTGGAACTCTTCAATTTTCGGCGGGGTATACTCCTCTTCTACTCGTCCTTCCCGCCCATACCGGTCGATGTCAGTGAGCTTGTTGACGCGCATGGTGTGCTTCTTATCAAGTGGCACTTGATCAAGCTGCCGCACCGCGGCGGCCGCCTCCGCGGGGGAGGAAAACTCGACAAAGGCAAATCTGTAGGTTCCTGTGTCAGAGCCGTTTTCTAGGGATCCAGATCCTTTTCCCGGCCGGTAGGCGATCTGGTGCATACCTCAATGACATTCCATCATCGCCCATGGGCATGAAGATGGCATCCTCGCTAGTCCGACCGACCGTGTTTAGCTTTCTCAGCAGGAATTTGATGAGTTTTGGTTTCTGTTGCTCGTCGACTTGCGGCAGTCCATCGATCACAACAAAGGTGTCGTAGCCCTGCTCGAGCTGGACTTCGTATTTTTCCCGGAGATCAGAAATATCCACATCGTCAACATCGAAATCCTCCTCGTCGAGATCTTCCTCGCGCAAATGGTCGAATGACGGCGCCATGCTGCGAAGATCAATTTGTTTCTCGTAAAAGCCTCTGCGAAAATGGGCTGCGTTCTCTTGATGTTGCGCTGCCACGGGGCGACTGGATCTTCTGCCGTCAAGTTTTGAGATTTTGTGCGCCGCAAACAGTGGTGGGGTTCAGCCAGAGCAGACAAGGTGAAAAAATGCCCCACCAAGCAGACTATTCTTTTCGGGAAGTCACCAAGTTCAGTCTAGGGACTGTTCAACTACGATAGTACCACGTCGACAAGCTTCCAAATCGTCAATAACAACAAAATCGCAGGCTGTAGGATTCGGTGAGTTGGTGTATTTCCACGACTCAAATCGTAGTAAGGGCGAGGCTTCTTTGTCCTATCTCTCTATTTGGCTGCTTTCGGCGAGTTCCAATTGTGAGAGGGCAGGGAGCACCAGCTGGGCAAAGGCGGTGAGGGAAGCTGTCTAGAATTTTGCCAAAGACGGGACAGAAAAGCCCAGGTGCTGCAAGCTTTCGCCGTGCCTGAGGTGCCTGGATCAAGAGCTGCCCCTCATCCACACGATCACCGGTCTAACCGATACTCTTCATACTGCAACCCACTGCCCTTTGCTTTTCGCCAAGATACCGTCGGTGCCATGGTATGCTCCATTTTCGGCAGCGTCAATCCTACTTCCCTTGAAACCTGAGAGTTGGCTAACCGCAAGCTTAGTCCTCGTTCAGCCCCACCCAGATCTTCGAAGAGGGCACGACAGAGGAAAAGGGCGAGAATGCCCGCCTCACTGCCTTCGTAGGTGCCATCGCCGTTGGCGATTTGGTAAAGAGCACGCTCGGGCCGAAGGGCATGGACAAGATCCTGCAATCCGCGTATGCTCTCACAAATGCTGGTACATAGCGAGTCAGGGGCTAACACCGCTCAAGGTCGACGGGCGAGATCATGGTCACAAACGATGGTGCTACAATTCTCAAGTCCATTGCGCTCGACAATGCCGCTGCAAAGGTTCTTGTCAACATCTCCAAGGTCCAGGACGATGAGGTTGGCGACGGCACCACCTCGGTTGCCGTGCTCGCCGCCGAGCTACTCCGCGAGGCCGAGAGGCTCGTCGACAAGAAGATCCACCCTCAGACCATCATCGAGGGCTACCGGATAGCCAGCCAGGCTGCGCTGAAGGCTCTGGAGGAGTCGGCAGTGGACAATAGCAAAAGCCCGGAGGCGTTCAAGAAGGACCTCATCGCCATCGCACGGACAACGCTCAGTTCCAAGGTGCTCGCCCAGGACAGGGACCATTTCTCTAGGCTAGCGGTCGATGCTGTCCTGCGATTGAAAGGCTCATCTGATCTCAGCCACATCCAGATCATCAAGAAGGCGGGCGGCAAGCTTAGCGAGTCATACTTGGACGAGGGCTTTATACTGGACAAGAAGATCGGTGTCAACCAGCCGAAGCGTCTCGAGAAGGCCAAAATCCTTGTCGCCAACACATCTATGGATACCGACAAGGTCAAGATTTTTGGTGCCCGACTGAAGGTGGGATCGACCAGCAAGCTAGCAGAGCTCGAGAAGGCCGAGAGAGAGAAGATGAAGGCAAAGGTTGAGAAGATCAAGGCGCACGGTATCAACTGCTTCATCAACCGGCAACTCATCTATAACTGGCCCGAACAGCTCTTTACAGATGCCGGCATCATGTCGATCGAGCATGCCGACTTTGACGGCATTGAGCGGCTGGCTCTCGTTACGGGCGGCGAAATTGCCTCAACCTTTGATCATCCAGAGCAGGTTAAACTGGGACACTGCGATCTAATTGAAGAGATTATGATAGGCGAGGACACGCTGATCAAGTTCTCGGGCGTGGCTGCGGGCGAAGCATGCACCATCGTGCTCCGCGGCGCAACTGATCAGTTGCTTGACGAGGCAGAACGCAGCCTGCACGACGCCCTGGCTGTTCTGTCCCAGACGGTCAAGGAGCCGCGTACAACATTAGGCGGAGGCTGTGCCGAGATGGTGATGGCCAAGGCTGTCGAGGCCGCCGCGACGCGGGTCGAGGGCAAGCGGCAAACGGCAGTTGCGTCGTTTGCCGTCGCACTGCGCCAGCTGCCCACTATCCTTGCCGACAATGCCGGGCTTGATTCGGGTGACCTGGTTGCCCGCCTCCGCAAGGCAATCTATGACGGCATGACGACGTATGGTCTTGATCTGATGACCCCTGGCGGTGGAATTGCCGATATGCGGGATCTCGGCGTGGTTGAGAGCTACAAGCTCAAGAAGGCGGTGGTGTCGTCGGCCAGTGAGGCCGCTGAGGTGAGTGTTGACATGCTTTCCCCGTCGGAATTCGTGCTAACTAACCTATGTCATAGCTCCTCTTGCGTGTAGACGACATAATAAGAGCGGCTCCGAGAAGGCGGGAAAGGCACTGAGTGTGATAAGTGTTTGTGACGGTGGGATGTGGACTGTAGCATAGCATTAGACGGCCCAAATACACTGTCAAGGCTCGGCATAGCTGTGTGCAAGCGGCTCTCGTGCTTCCACGTTTGTCTCATTCGCAACGAATTCCCTTCTAGCCATCCTCGCAAGCGAATACGATCAAGAGTGCCAACTTTCCGTGCATGCGTAGGAGTCCAGAACCTTCTCAAACAACTTGGAGGCTGGAGATAGCACGGATGCCAAATTGCGGCAGATGTATGGCACTCTGTGCCGTCTCACCCGCAAATGCCACTTGTCGCTGGTCAGGAGGTGGCAATGTGGTGGGTGTCGTACCCGTGGTTTCAGGGAAACTCTTCAGGGAATAAGGATGATGGATCATGGATGCCTCATCAAGACAGCTGAGCGCTTTGCTTACATATACCGGCATTTTTTTTTTATTTTTTATTTTTTTTATTTATTTTTATTTTTTTTTTTTTGCATCCGTTCCCCAGTTACTTTTGGTATTGTCTCAATTGTGGCGTGATATTTGGTGTTCGTCCTTAAATCTTGTCTTGTTTCCTGTGCTGTCCTGCTTTGCAGGAGTCAGAATTCAGGAGTCCATGGTCATTGCTGTTCGGGTTCGGGAACAGAAAAGCTACTTGCTGAGCGTGGAAACCGTCTACTCAATTCTCCATTGCGATCCATAGATTTGATTGATTCAAAGTAGGCCCATCAAGTTACATTGTGCAGAGGATGGTCAGTAGGGAACGTCGGAGCGATCATGATGTATCAACAAGAAAGTTGTATGAACAAAAAGAGAGGCGAACAGAGCTGTTAGAACCCCCAGAACCCTCATCCCCCAGTACCCTCGAGGCTTCACAGAGTTCGACAAATCATTAGCAAGTACTGTCTACCACTAAGACAGTATGTACTCACAGGCCCATGCCAGAGGGTACCATGAACAGCCCCTTCAGCCCAGTCTCCATGAATCACCATAGAAAACTAGGGAGCGCAACGTGTGGGAGTTGAACCCACGACCTCTGGTGAGTGACTGACAGTCAATACCAATAGGTAACATGCTCTGTTCTTTGGATTGGTCATTAGGGGCGGTCAATTCTTTCCCTATAAAGCACTGGTGCGTATTGCGGAGGCAGGTACGGGGCAGCTGACCACTACCTACGGTACCTTCACCTTCCTTCATCTGATGTCTGGGCTCATCGCGTCTGTCACACGCGTCTAGGCGTGACACCCTCCTACCCAGGACACGGGTCATGTTTTTCCCATTTGCCCTTGGGCCTGCTCACTGATAGGCACGTTGTCTTCCACATTCTAGGACATTCTAATTCAGTTCCAATCGGCCATGGTAACATGAGCTGTGCCAACTCATGACCACAGTACCCGGGCTATCTACAGCGATCTTGACACTAAGCTTTGCCTGTAGGTAGGTATTGCAATGTTCAGCTTCCCCGTCACTGCCTTTCGGTTCGAGTGGCTAACGCTCTGAAATGGCCGACTTAGTACGAGAACAAACCGAACGAGCAAGACTTCTTCACTCAATAATTCCCTATTCATGGAACCATGACAATAGCAACTTCTCTCCTACTTTCGCCTGAATGTTCCGGTCCTCAGAATTTCGAGCACCGCTCTCCAGCCGTGCCTGCCTTCTCCGCAGAATCTGTGAGCTCTATGATCTATCTTGGTTTGATGTGCCACCAAGACCTCCTAGTCGTCCTTGGCACGCTCTTTGGCCATGAACCTTGGGACCCCCAAGAGCGGCAAGGTAAGGTCAGACTCAAGGGCGAGGCGAGCCCAAGACATTGCATAGAACGCAAAGGTTACAACTGTATGTCCGCCTGTGTTGCCGTCCTGTTCACCACTCAGGTCTGATCTGTGTCTCTGGTGGGATTTGCTCCATTGTCACTCCATCGTCGCAATGTATCTCAGGGCCACGAATTGTGCGTATTTTGAAATCCATGGCATCCCAGAATTCAATGCCCTCGTTGAATCCCCAGATGTCTCTAACTTCGTGACCCTCCTCGTTGTTGAAGCCTTTGAACTTGTCTGCGCGCCTCGCCTTTGCGAGTTGGCCCTGAAAAGTCCCGTTATCGAGATGTCTGGCTCTCGGTCATCGTTCCGTCGGCGGTGGCCTTTTTCTCTTACTCTCTTGCTGCGACCGCTGCGTTCGGTTTCCTCGCTTCGCTGCCTTGCCAAACTCGGCTGCTGTTGTGTTGCCAAAGCCGACTGCTTACTGCTGGCATTCCACCCTGGGTCTGTTTGCCCAGACAGTCTGGTACGGTTTTGGTTGTGCTGGTGTTGGCGGTTTGATGGGTTTGGGAGGGGGTGTCGCCGTATTGTTGGTTGAACGCCTTCCTCCCAATGACCATTTGAGCCAACCAACCGGTGTAGTCGCATATACCAGCCACACGATGGTCCTGGTTGAGTAAGGTAGGTACCAGGGCAGCGGTGAATAGCTCGAGTTTGACTGAGGATGTCGAAGATGGCCTCGACAAGCTCACCCTTAACACGGTAGGTACTCAAACGGACTGGTATAGCCGCTCGCCCCTCCATGCCGTATCGCCTGGTAGTCTTGAGTCTTCTGTAGAACCGACGTAAGTCTAATTGACCTGAAAACTGTTTGAAGAATCGTTCGCTCGGAGTGCTTGGCTTGTCGACAACGTGCAGCCGCTGGTTCTTAGCACATTAAGGGTGGACAGCTTCTTGTAACACTTGCCGACTTTCATGGACGTGAAGTAAGTCTTTGGCGCGTAAAGGCGAGCACTGGCGGGTAAGTTGTCATCGGACTCGTTGCCGAAGTCCTCGTCGGCTTTCCTGTCAGAGATGATGCTGTCCTTGTCCTCGTCCTCGTTGTAAGGGTCATCCTCGGGGTTGCCGACCTCGGGCTCTTCTTCCTGCTGGACCTCAAAGCGCTGGTTGGTGAACTCAGCCTGGTCGGCGCACATTCTCCTGTATCTAGACACGTCAGACATCCATGAGGTTAGAAACTGTACTTCGCGCAAAACATTTCTGGAGAACTTCGGATGAAATATCTCCTCAGAAGAATATAAATACCTGACCACTTCCCACCGACCTCAGTTTTTCCCTTCCCACGCTTCCAACTTTCTACTGAAGCAGTTCTTCCGCTCTCGTTCGCCCATTTACCAAACCTGGTCTTCCCTCTCTTCTTCTTCCCTTCGCGCTTCAAATTTTCTACTGAAGCAGTTCCCCCTGTCGCCTTCGCCTACCCAACTTGAACCACCGCTCCCTTCTTTTTTTCGATAAAAAAAAAAGAAGTTATAAAAATGTCGGCCACAGGCAAGATGACGATTTTCTTGTCCGACTTCTTCCCTCGGGGTAAGTGAACCTTTTCCTGGCCAGTCCTCCTTCTTCCACCTGAGCCGCTGTACTCGCGAGTCGCGACGCGAGTCGCGCGAGCTTACCTTCCACTTCGACGGCCGAGAAACCGCCGGCTCCTCCTTCCATAATTTCTTGATTTCAGAAGCTACCGCTGGCATCGCGGACAGCCGGCTGTCGCGGTTCTGGCGCTTGGCACTCTCTCAACTTCACCACTCACTTTCACGACCCCCCTCCTTCAGGCACAAAACTCACCTTCCGGAAACACCGCGTGGAAATCCTTCTCCTTAACCTTTCCCCCTCCACCGGCCCTTACATGTACACCCCCATCACCATTATCATGATCCCCAGCAGATCTCTGATCCTGATCGCCATCTTCATCTTTTTTTTCCTTCGTTCTGCGCTTCGTCGGACCAATCCCAAGCCCGGTCCCAGCGAGATGCGTGGACCTTTTGTTCTCCTGCCAGTTCGCCGTCGAGGGCAGACCCCAGCGCAGCGCGACGAGCCGCGCGGTCAAGGGGGAAGGCTGCGTCCGGGCTTAGGACCCGCAGGACATGGCTTTGTTCAACCCGGGCCGCTGGATTGTCCGCACGGGCAAGGACAAGGACGGCATCGGCCACTCTGCTCCTCGGCTCCTCCCGCCCACTCTCCCTCACACCCCACCCAGCCGAGAAGCAGGCATCATGAACCTCACCAACCCGCCCAAGCTCTCCTTCTCGAACACCACCGCCTTGCCCTCTCCCATCTTATTCCCACCAAATCGCCCCTGACCCAGTCCTCCACTAGCAACGGTTGCACTCGTTCCACCGACCACTTTGAGACTTGAGAGGGAGTTCTGCACCGCTGCGCCCCCGACCATGGTGAAGGACGAAAACGAGTGCAAGCGCCTCTAGATACCGAGGAGGACGGCATCTAGTCCGTTCAAAGCGTCTTCGCAGCTTTATCAGTCGGCCTGCGTACCGTCTGCTGTCGTGGTCTCACTGGTCTCCGTTTTTAACTTCTTCATAGCCATCTTCACCTCTGTTCTTTTACATTTTTTGTTCTGTCCATTATCTACCTTGGGTATTTTCACCTTTACTTCGTTTCAGTGGAACTGACATGAGTACCTATGTAGCTGGTTTTCTCTGGAAACGTCGTCAGAGTGTTCCGCGAATTCTCCGATCGTCGGAGCGTGACGCCCTGGTGCTGCGCGCGCTCTTCACGGTCCAAGGCGGCAAAAAGTTTAGAAGGCGTGAGGCCAACGTCCTCATTGCCAATGCCATCGACATTGCGGCAAAGACAATCAACGACGAAAATCCCGGTATGCGCCCTGAAGAGGGCATACTTGAGTACCTCGCCCGCGCCGGCACCTTTTCCGAGTTCGGTCAGGCACTGCCTGAGAACATCTGGTCAGTACTTCCCCGGCTCTGTGGTTTGCTTCTTCAGAATTTATGTTGCCTTCACCAATCAATCCAGGCACGAACTGAATATGTCGCTTTGACGCATGGCATGCGAATTTGCTGCTTCTCAAGCAGCAACTCAAGCTCGTCGTCATGATCAGAGTTTCCCTCAACGGCAGAGCCGTCCTCAGTCCTCACTTGACATTTGACTTGATCTACCCTCCACAATCCGGCTCTGGCATCTTCTGCTAAAAAGGTTCTAACACTCCTTTATGCACAGGGTCGAACTCGTATATCAGATTGCCTGGGCCCGGTATGAATATGAACGCCGCAAGCCCAAGGCCTGGAAGGACGGCTTCCGCAACCAGCTGACGGAGCTGGCCCACGCCATCGACCGCCTGATGCAAGCGGCTGGCGACTGCTGGGACTGGGCGGCCCTTGAGTTCTTTGCCTACCCACACCTGATGGGTGGGGTAGGCGACTACGACTCCGACGACGAGGAGGAGGAGGAGGAGGCATTGGCCAAGAAACTGGAGGACCTCAGTGTCCAGGATGCTGACGGAGACATTCAGATGGCGGATTGAAACTGGACACTGAGGTTCTCCGGTTTCTTGGGCAATGCCTGGGGGTGGAATGAGACAGGGTTGGACGGCGTCACTGCATCACGATACCCAGGGTGGTGGTTTGGGTCTGGCGTTCCGGTGGACCGGTAGTTTTTTTGGAAGCATGGTGGGAACCGGAGGAGGAATATTGGGCCATGCAATTTTGATGCTTGTTGTTAATGATGAGAATCTTCTCTCCCCCTTTTCAGGGTTCTTTCGCGCGCCTATGACTGTCTGAACAGACTGAACTGTGCAATTGCT